AAAGACCCCAGAAGTATATAATATTACCTAAGTAAACAGGAAGTACATTGTAAGCAACTTCCTAAACTCTAGAATTGACAGAGACATCTTGCTACCTGGACAGTCACCCAAAGTTCTTCTGTACTGTTGGGACATCAGCCGACAGGTCCATAGTGTCCAGTAGACTTTTCCATGAAACAGGAAATCTCAAAGACAGATCTGTCCATATTGGCAATTTGTTGGTGTGGGAGAATTGTCTGTATTCTGTCAATCATGTATTTTAATAAAATGCTGATTGGCCAGGCAGGAAGTAGAGGCGGGTCAACCAGACAGGCAGTAGAGGCAGGGCAATGAGAATAGGAGAAGGCTAGGGAGGAGGAAGCTCCCTCCGCCATTCCTGCCCAGACCACTGAAGACAACATGTGAGCTGACAGCTGAAAAAGGTACCAAGCCATATGGCTAACATAGATAAGGATAATGGGGTAATATATGTTATAAGAACTAATAAGTAGCCAGAGCTAAGGGCCAATCAGTTTATAATCTTATGGAGTCTTGTGTGTGATTTTCTTTGGGGTATGCCGGTTGTGGGGTACCGGGTGGGACAGAAACCCCAACAAGTCGGCTCTCATGTTACAGTTTGTCAGTCATCCTCTTAGTTGTAAGAGGTCTCTTGTTTGTTCCCGGCTGCTCAGCCCTGAAATAACCACACAGAAACCATATTATTTGCAATAGTGTTTGGCCAATGGCTTAAGCGTATTTCTGGCTAACTCATATTTTAAATTAACCCATTTCCATTAATCTGTGTATTGCCACAGGGCTGTGGCTTACTGGGTAGAGTTCTGGTGTCTGTCTCCGGCAGGGCTACATGGCTTCTCACTGATTCTGCCTTCTTTCTCCCAGCATTCAGTTTAGTTTTCCCCACCTACTTCTATTCTGTTCTGTGCTGATCCAAGCAGTTTCTTTTTAAAACATTGATATTCACAGCATACAGAGGAGAATCCCACATCACTTATAATTTAAATTAACCTGCTTTTATTAATCTGCATTTTGCCATGTGACTCGATTTACTCTGTACTGTATGTCCGACCTCATCAGTGTCTACCTGGCATCTCCTCTGCACCTAGATTCTAAGCCTGAGTTCCCGCCTATTCTCTCCTGCCCAGCTATTGGTCGTTCAGCTCTCAATTAAACCAATCACAAAGTGCATTAGACAGAGACACATCTTTACAGTGTACAAAAAGATTATCCCATAGCAAGCCTGGGCTTCACAGGACCTGTCTCAAGCAAATGTACAAGCATGAAAGAATGACCGCCTTGTTTTGCTGTCTTACCTGCAGCGCACACGATTTCTGTTTCCTTGTACCCTCACTGGCCCCTCCTTGTGCGTTATTGTCACCATCTCAATAGGTGTCAAGACATATGTCTTAGGGCTCCTATTACTGTGCTAAAACACCGTGACCACCTGGAGCCAGGAACTGAATCAGAGACCATGGAGGAACGTGGCTTACTGGCTCACTTTCCATGGTTTACTCAGCCTGTTTCCTTATCCTGTGCAGGACCACCCACAGTGGGCTGCTGGGTCCTTCCAAATCCATCATTAATCAAGAGAAACTCCCCTCCCCTGTCGGCTTGCCCACAGGCCAGTGTAGTGGGGGCATCTTCTCACTTTTCCAGATGACTCTCTTGTTCAAGTTGACTTGGCACCAGCCAGCACTGGTGATCGTGTATCCTGACACTGGTTTCTGAGCTCATGGTTCTTTCCGCCTGTCCTTTCAAGGGAAGCTTCTCTCAAGAACCATCTATTCCGTCTTGCTGAGCTCATGGTTCTTTCAAGGGAAGCGTCTCTCAGGAACCGCCTATTCCGTCTTGCTCCTTTGTCATTTTGCTTGGATCTTCACGAGCACGCACTTTTGATTCCACTGCCTTTCCTGGTTGTGAGGCCTAATTTGTAAACTCCTGGTGGGCACTATTGTGCACTCAGCCCGTGAGGCTGACGCAGGAGGAGTCTAAAGTCACCCTGGGTTGTGCAAATAAGCTCACACGGGTTTAGATAGGTGGTAAGGACCATGAAGGGATGTTCTCAGACAAGCAAAGGTAGCCCAGACAGGCTCAGACCAGCCAGTCTCCTGGAGAAGACACCACACAAACACACACATATACACACACCACCCCTACCAACCTGTTGAGTTGCCTGTAGGTTATGCAGTGTGCTCCAGGTGTCCACCTTTCCCGATCCAGTTCTGTTCTGGGGCAGGCTGGGGTGAAATAACCCCTCACTCATTCTTCTGTAAGTAATCCCAATCCAACCCACTGATTTACTGTAAACAGACGTCTCCCAGTCCCATCTGCCCAGTTCCAAATAAACACACAGAGGCTTAATATTACTTATAAATGCTCGGCCAATTGCTCAGGCTTATTACTAACTAGCTCTTTTTTATTTTTTTAATTTTCCATATTAATCCCAGTTCTCTTTCCCTCCCCTCATTCCACTCGCCCCACCTTCCTCTCAGTCCACCCCCCCATCCACTTCTCAGTGGATGCTATGGCCTCCCATGGGAGTCAGTGAAGTCGGTCCCCTTACCGGGTTGAGGCTTGACCAAGTCCCCCCTCCCCCTGTGTCTATACTAAGCAAGGTATCTCTCTTATTAGCTTCCTTCTCTCTCTCTCTCTCTCTTTCTTTCTTTCTTTCTTATTGTCTTTTTGAGACAGGGTTTCTCTGTCTTTGGAGCCTGTCCTGAGTTGGCCTCAAACTCAGAGATCCACCTGCCTCTGCCTCCCTAGTGCTGGGATTAATGGCATGCACCACCAGTGCCCAACCTAGCTCTTACATTTTAAGTTAACCCATATTCCTTATTTCTGCTCTGCAGTGTGGCGGTACCTTATGAGCATAGCGCGTTCATCTCCTGCTCCCTGTGCATCTGCCCTTCCTCATCCTCAGTTTGGCTTTCCTGCCTAATCTTCTTCTGTTCAGCTATTGGTCAGTCAGCTTGTTTATTAAGCCAATCACAGCGACTTGTATTCACACAGTGCAAAGGGATATTCCACAGCAGTTTACCAAGTTGAATTTTGAAAGTGGAAGGGCCTGCCTGGGCAAATTAGCCCCTGCTTCAAAATTAAAAGTCAGAAACACTGAGGTTTCGTCCTTGCCTAGCGTAGAATCAAGGGGTCAGTCTCCAGCACCCGCACAAATTAAAAAGCATTGTGAAATATTCCAGCTATTTAATTAATCTATGATTCCTCATAAGACCAATCAGTGCTCACATGTAGTTAGCAAGTCAAGGGTTCATCGAAGCCTGAAATAGCCTGGAGGGTCTCGTGAGTAAGCACTGGGACTCTGTTACTCCACTGAGGGTGCACCTTCTCTTATTTGGAGATACTATGACTTGGAACCCAAGCAAAAACATTCATCTGTGTTACATGCCATACAGGCCACTAGCTTCAGGACATGTGTAAGAATCATTTATATCCAGGTGGCGGTTGCGATCATAAAGTCGGATCCCTGGTCCATCTGTGCGACTGTTTAACTTCATTCATAGGAATGAAGCTATCCTGCAAGCTGATTTCTCTCATCTTCCCTCAGTTCTGGCTCACTACGCACCAGGACCCCAGGTCAAAAATGAATCTGGTGAACTGGAGAAAAGGCTCAGCAGTTAAGAGCACTGGCTGCTCTCCTAAAGGTCCTGAGTTCAATTCCCAGCAACCCCAGGGTGGCTCCCAACCATCTGTAATGAGATCTGGCGCCCTCTTCTGGCCTACGCAGGCAGAATACTGTATACACAGTAAATAAATAAATCTTAACCCCCCGCCCCCCCCAAAAAATGAATTTGGTGGTAAATGAATGGCTACCAGAGTTTTGAACTGTAACCTGGTGTGGCCAGCAGCACACACATAATTTCAGCACTGAAGAAACAAAGAGGGAAGAGCAGGAGTTTAAGAACACCCTGGGAGAGTCGGGATCCTGCTTCAAACAGAAAACGACACAAAATAGTTTTGAATTGCAACAGTTTAGTGTAGGGCATGGAGCAAAACAAAGCTTTTTGTAATTCACACACAGAGTCGTTCTCTCTTACCTCTAGGTGAGCATAGTTGGTTTACACTGGCTTCCGAAGTCCTTTCCTCCTTTCCTTTGGGAAGCCAGATGAGTGTTACTTAAGGGCACTTCTCAATTTTCTTCTCTCTTAGATTCTTTTTTTTTTTTAAAGGAAGTAGAAGAGGAAGGACTTTTTTTTATATTTATTTATTTGCTTATTATGTATACAGTATTCTTTATTCAGTCCAGAAGAGGGCACCAGGCCTCATTACAGATGGTTTTGAGCCACCATGTGGTTGCTAGGAATTGAACTCAGGACCTTTGGAAGAACAGGCAGTGCTCTTAACCGCTGAGCCATCTCTCCAGCCCCTTCTTTTATTGTTTTTTTGGTTTTTGAGACAGGGTCTCACTGTGGAGCCTTGACTGGCCTGGAGTTTGCTTTGTTGCCCAGGCAGACCAGGCTGGCTCCCAACTCACAGAGATCCCCCTGCCTCTGCCTCCGAATGTGTGACATCACACCCATCTTTTTTGTTTGTCTTTGTTTTTTGAGACAGGTTTCTTTGTGTAGCTCTCTGTCCTGAAACTTGCTCTGTAGACCAGGCTGGCCTCGAACTCACACAGATCTGCCTACCTCTGCCTGCCGTGTGCTGGAATTAAAGGGGTGCGCCACCACTACCTGGCTATAGTTTTTATATTTTCTGTATTTATTGTGTGTGTTCACGTATGTGTATGTGCGTGTGGGCATGCCACAGTGCAGCACACATGTGGAGGTCAGAGGGCAACTTTTAGGGGTCAGTTCTCCCCCCACCCATGTGCACAAAGCTCCGCCCAGTAGGTTGGTTGAACCATCTCATTAGCCTGTCAATCATTCTTTTTACTTTTATTCCCCTTCTGAATGCTTTGCTGGTACTGCTTTGTGTCCTATTTACGGGGACTCAATCTCCGACGTGTAGAATCTTCCTGACTTTCCGGTCTTCATGTCTCCCTGCAGCCATATGTGTCACTGTCTCAGCAGATGGCACCGCCCAGTCCCAGGAACAGTACCCCTAACAGTAGCAGTGGGAGCAACGGCAATGACCAGCTGAGCAAAACCAATCTGTATATCCGAGGACTGCAGCCGGGCACTACTGACCAGGACCTTGTCAAGCTCTGTCAGCCGTAAGTCATGGTTCCAGGGGGAAGCTTCCCGGGCCAGCACACATCTGCCTTCGCTGGCTTCTTGTCACATGCTCCTAGCTTGAACTACGATGGTTGTATGTTCCTCCCTCACAGCCACGGCATTCGGTCACAGCACAGTCACAATGCGTGCAGAACTCTTTCTTGTTGCCGCTTTTTTGGCTTTGTTGTTTTGAGATGGCGTCTCATGGATCCTAGGCTGGCCTCAAGCAAAATCACCTTGAGAAAAGGGTTCTTTTGTCTCTTGAAGTGTCTTCTTTGTGCTGGAAAAGTCCAGGTGAGGCAGCTGGAGGCTGCTGGTCACACACACAGCCAGGAAGAAAGGAAAACCACTGCCTGCCACCACTCAGTTCCCTTTCTCTTATTTACATAGTCCTGGATCCCAGGCAGGGGCAGCACCGCCCACAATGGCTGAGGCCCTCAACGGGCATGCCAGTAATCTCTATGGTGTGTGTGTGTGTGTGTGTGTTTTGTGTGTTTTTAAACATGGGATCATATAGTCTAGGCTGGCCTTAAACGCCTTGTTCTGCTGTGTCTGCCTCTCGGATTCTGGAGTTAAAGGCATGCACCACCATACCTGGCTATATTTTTATTTATGTGTATATGTACATGCTCGTGTGAGTTTATATGTACCACATGTGTGGGTGTCCTGGAACTGGAGTTACGGACAGGTGTGAGCCACGTGGTGGATGGTAGGAATCCAACCCTGGTTCTCTGGAAGAGCCCTGAGCTCTCTCTCCAGTCCCCTGTACTAGCTGTCCTTGTTGCTATACAGAATCGCCCGTTTTGTTGTTGTAAATGTTGGCATTGTTACCAGTTTGTGGCTATTCTGGATGCAAACAGTGTGCTGGAAACCTACACTTTGGTGTGTGCATGTGAACATATTCATGCTGGGTATATTGCTGGGTCACAGGGTACCCATCTGTGTAGCTATATACTAGAAATATGACAGAAGGGTATCCTACTAGGCATAGTGGTCCATGCCTCCTGTAATCTCAGCATTCAGGAGATGGAGTCAAGAAGGTTCGGGATTCAGAGCCCTTCTCTACATTGCAAACCTGAGGCCTTGTAGCTGCAAGCCCTCTGCCCAGGTGCTACATTCTGGTCTAAGAAACTTCCCTGCTCTTTTCGGCTTTCATTTGCCCTCCCAGGGTCAGCATGGAGGATGGAAGTTAGGAATCCAGAACAGGAGTGGGAAGGGCCAGTCAGGACTATAGAATGAGACCCTGTCTCAAAAAAACATCAGGGAGCCAAAAAGATGGTTTAATGGTTAAGAGCATAGACTATTTTTTTCTGTTTTTTGTTTGTTTGGTTTATTCAAAACAGATTTCTCTGTAGCTTTGGAGCCTGTCCTGGAACTTGCTCTGTAGACCAGGCTGATCTCGAACTCACAGAGATCCACTTGTCTCTGCTTCCCAAGGGCTAGAATTAAAGGCTTGCACCACCCCCACCCGGCTCATAAACTGCTGTTAAAGATCTGAGTTTGATCTCACATTGTGTAGCTCAGTTGCCTGTAGCTGCAGCCCAGCGCCTCCGGCAGTCACAGGCACAAGACCATACAGACACACGCATATTTGAAAATAATGAAATCTTTTTAAAAGTCAGTCAGTCAAACAGCTGGGCATTGGTAGTGCACACCTTTAATCCCAGCACTCGGGAGGCAAAAGCAGGCTGATTTCTGTGAGTTCAAGACTGGTCTGGTCTACAGAGCTAGTTCCATGACAGCCAGTGCTGTCACACTGAGAAACCCTGTCTCAAAGATAATTTAAAAAAAAAAAATCAGTCAAAGAAAAATGGAGGCGTGAAGTGCAGCAGAGAAGGAACGGGTTGGGTGGAGCCTGATTGCGGGAAGCAGGGAGCTGAGCCTCTCTAAGAAGGATGTTTCTCCTGCTCAGAAGGACTTCCTGCCTTTGTCCCAGTGATCTCTTCCTGGGTACTGAGTCCCTAGCTCTGGCGGGCCTGACGGAGAGGTGTGGCCTGGGGCTGGAGGAGAGGCGTGGCTTGGGGCTAGAGGAGAGGCGTGGCCTGGGGCTGGAGGAGAGGCGTGGCCTGGGACTGGAGGAGAGGCGTGGCCTGGGGCTGGAGGAGAGGCGTGGCCTGGGGCTGGAGGAGAGGCGTGGCCAGGGGCTGGAACTCCTGGTTCTCTTGCAGGGGCTCCTTCCGAGGATGGGAAGCTGTGACCCAGCTGTTGCCAGCTGCAGTGGAAATTCTGGCTCAGAATCTCAGGCTGCTCGACCACAGCAGGCTCCACCCTGGGGCCTTGATGGGGATAGCAGCTTGGGTGTCCTCTGGCGGACAGCACTTCCACTCCATCTTGTCTTAAATTTGGGTTAGAATCCAAGTATGGAGCCTCAAAAGACCCCAGGACCAGAGGTCCCCACCTCCTTTTAACACGTTCTATTCCCAACCTCCAGAGCGTTCCCTGGCTTAATTCTTTAGGTCCCAGAAGCTCCCCTGAAAAAGTCGGTGGGGCAGGGGGTGGGGGGGTTGGCGTGGGGGATGGGCAGCCAGGGAATAGAAACCAACCAGTCATCCCAGCTTTAGGAATAAGAGGAGATACCTATTTAATGCTTGTTTAGTCTCAAATTTAGTTCCTGCCAACTGTTTCTGTTCAGTCCTTGTTCTTTTCGTTTTTTTTAATTTTATTTATTTATATAACATTATGTTTTCATTTAGTTTCCATTCCAACTGCAGTCCCGTCCCCAGTCCCTGTCCTGTCCCCATCCTCCCCATCCTCCCATCCCCCCACCCCCCCACCCCCGCCCCCGCCCCGCCCCTCTGTCCCGCCACAGCTGCCGCTGTTCTTTTGACCTTGGCCGAGGTGGCTCTCCTGTCCGAGGTCTTCACACCACTGGAGTAGAATGTAGCAGCTTTTCTAGTGATGCTTCTAACATAACCCAAGAGCTGCGGGGCTCAAGCGCTGGGAGCTGCCCGGGCCCCTGCTGCCGGCAAGGATTTCCAAAAAGCTGAAAAAACACAGACCTCATGAATGTAGACTGAAAGCAGGTCAGAGATGGATTTAACCCATTCCTGAAGGCGGCAGAGGGACGGAAAGCCAGGTCAGAGAGCACAGGCAGTGACCTGCTGGCTCTGAAATATGTTGGGAGAAGGTTGCGGTGGTGAGGTCACCCGGCGGAAAGGCAGCAGAGCCAGGATGTGAGCCAGAACAGTTTGGATCAGGCTGGCGCGCACATAAGACATCAGCTGGGTGCTGGAAAGAGGGGCTCAGAGGAACAAAGGTTCATTATTTTTAAAACGTTTAGTTTTAATTGTATTTTTTATGTGTATGGATATTTTGCCTGTGTATATGTCTGTGTATCACATACATGCCTGGTGCCCACAGAGGCCAGAGGAGAGTGTCAGATCTCCTGGAACTGGAGTCACAGATAGTTATGAGCTGTCATTTAGATGCTAGGAATTAAACCCAGGCCCTCTAGATGAGCAGCCAGTGCTCTTAACCAGTGAACAGTCTTTGCAGCACCTATTTTATTATTATTATTACTTTTTGGGGGGCTTTCAAGACAGGGTTTCTCTGTGTAGCCCTGGCTGTCCCTGGAACTCATTCTGTAGACCAGGCTGGCCTCTAGTTTACAGAGATCTGCCTCCCAAGAGCTGGGATTAAAGGCATCCGTCACCACCGCCTGGCTTATCTTATTATTTTTAATAGGATGAATGTGTTTGCCTGAAAGAAAAGTAGAATCAAGAAGCTAACTGGGTGGTGGTGGCGCACACCTTTAATCACAGCACTCAGGAGGACTGTAGTGACTTTGAGGGGTTAGGGTTATTAAGGACAATGAGACAGTTGATCTCATCGATGTGATTAGACTGAAAAGCGCGGGATAGCAGTTAATTTCCTCTTTGCCACGATAAATACTACAAAATAAAGCAGTTCCTGAAGAACGGTCCATCCGGCCAGAGTCTGAGAGGACACGGTCCACCGTGGCTGGTCACACTGACATCAGCAAAGCAAGGGCAGCCAGGTGGGGGTAGGCTGTAAAGTCCCGGCTGCCCGTTCATCCAGTGCCCCTCCTAAAGCAGTGTCATCAGCTGGGAACCAAGTTTTCAGCCACAGGACATGGGGCCATTCCCGTGGAAACCACAGCAGCCTGGGTATGACAGGGACGGCTTTTCCAGGGAAGCAGGGAAATCTTCCCTGAATATCGGGAGTTCTTCCCCTAGATGGGGGTGGGGTGGGGTGGAATAGAAGGGGAAAGAGAGGTGGGTGGTGGGGGGAGAGGAGATGGGGTGTTCCTATTTCCCTCCCCCCTTTTCCCATGCTGTAAGCTACTTCACCCTCTCTACCATGATGGGCTGAAACCGTGAACCTAAAGAAACTGCCTCTCCCTTAAAAAGTGTTTGTACCAAGCATTTTGTCATGGGGATAAAAACTAACAACAATGGTTTTTTTTTTAGACAAAACTATATAGGTTTGGTTCCATAGACCAACCAGGCTGGCCACTAACTCACAGAGATTCACCTGCTTCTGTCCCTTGAACGCTGGGTTCAAAGGCCTCTGTTACCACTTCCTGAACTAATGGCATTTGTTGTTGGTGTTGTTTTGCTTTTCGAGACAGGGTTTCTCTGTGTAGCTCTGGCTGTCCTGGGACTCACTCTGTAGACCAGGCTGGCCTCAACTCACAGAAATCCACATGCCTCTGCCTCCCAAGTGCTGGGATTAAAGGCATATAAATGGCAATTTAAATTAATTTTTGTCTTTTTTTTTTTTTATACAGACAGGGTTACTCTGTATAGTTCTAGGTGTCTTGGAACTTGCTCTATAGACCAGGTCGGCCTTGAACTCAGAGATCCACCTGTCCCTGTTTCCCCGAGTGCTAGTATTAAAGGCATGCGCTGCTATGCCAGGCTCTTTGTCCTGTTCTTGTTTTGTTTTGTTTTGAGACACTTTGATCTGTTCTTAGCCCCTGTCCCCAGATCGTGACTTTGCATTTCCTTTCCCTTAGATATGGCAAGATTGTCTCCACCAAAGCCATCCTGGACAAGACCACAAGCAAATGCAAAGGTAAGAAGGGCCTTCGCCTCTGCCTCCTGCTGCTGGGAGTCTGAGCGCCTGGTGCTAGGGAGGAGCTGGGGATTTGGGACCTTATGACCGATAGGTATAATAGGTATTTAGACTCCTGGGTGACCAGACAGCCCAGCCGGAGCTGAAAGAACTGTTAGGGACTGGTAGCCCGAAGACTGCCTAGAGCTCCCTTGGCTGGAGTGCGCTCTGGGCCACAGTCTCCGTGGATGGATGCAGGACGCACTGTCTCTGCTGTCACCTCAGTCTCTGTGGATGGATGCAGGACACACTGTCTCTGCTGTCATTGTAAACAGGACGGCCCACAGGTGTTCTCCAGTGCTGAGTAGCTGTGGAGGGTTGGAGCGTTTCTGGTGCAGCAGTGGGAAGAGTAGGGAAGGGCAGCTTCCTTCATTTCTCCTGCTCTGCTCTATTCCTTCCTGCCCAGCATTTCTGGTCCTTTAGCAGTGCCTGAGGTCTAGGATCTAATACCTTAGGTCTGAAGCCTCAAGTTTTTAATGAGAAGGAGAAAGGCAGAATACCACAAGGCTACATTTCCCTTGGCATCCTTAGCCAAGGTGAGGGGTCACCTGGACAGTCACCTGAACACTCTTAATTTCTCTTTCTCCCGCGACATCATTTACACGGACCATAACCCTTGCTCTATCTCCTGAAAAGCCTGGGCCTCCTACCTCCTTACACCTCCCACTTCCCCATGATGCTGTTTCCCTGTTCCAGGCTATGGTTTTGTGGACTTCGACAGTCCCTCGGCAGCACAGAAGGCTGTCACCGCACTGAAAGCCAGTGGTGTGCAGGCACAGATGGCAAAGGTAAGACCACCTGCCTTTCCAGGGTGACCATCAGCGCCAAAGTACTGGTTTGAGGCCTCCCAGTGCTTACAAATATGACAATGATGAGCAAGAATTATCTACAGCTTGCACAGCATGCATGTGTGTGTGTATGTGCATGTATGTATATGCGTGTATGTGCACATGCATGTATGTGTATGTGTGTATGCATGTGTATGTGTGTATGTGTTTATATATGTATGTATTATGTGTATATGTATATGTGCATGTATGTGTATATGCATGTATGTGTGTGTATATGCATGTATATATTTGTGTGTATGTGTTTGTATGTGTATGTATGTGCATATGTGTATGTGTGTATGCGTTTGTATGTGTTTGTGTGTGTTTGTGTGGTGTGTGTGTGTGTGTGTGTGTGCGCACACTCACAGCTTGGAGCTACCTGATGTGGGTGATGGTAACTGGACTCAGATCCTCTGCAAGATCAGAATGTGCTCAGAACCATCTTTCTGGTAGCCTCTGGACACAGACAGGCTGAGCTGCTGCAGAAGACTGTCCTTTGTGTGGCAGATAGGCGGCCAGGCTTCTTGGCCCCCTTGCTGCCTCCGTCCCCACCCGCCCCACTTTCCTGGGACAGATGGTAATAGTTTTGCAGCATTCTCTGAAGAAGCCAGCTGTGCAACTCAGGCTCTGAAGAATGCTCTAGGCCTGCCCCTGCTCCCACAGGGCAGAGAGTGAGCTGGGAAGGGTTGGGGAAAGGAAGACCTAGAGCAAGCAAGGAAGAGAACTGTGTCTCTTGGGTAGAGCTCCCTGGAGCTGAGCATTTTGTATGCTCTTTTTTCCCATGTCAGTCCCTGGAAAGCTAGAAGCCTTTCTGGTATCCTTCCTCAAGGGAGGACAGTCCCCTGCCTTGCTGAGGCGTCTCAGATACTGTGAAGGAGCTGGTAAGGCAGCCCTTCCTGAAACTAGAGTTACAGATGGTTGTGTGTCCCCATGTGGGGGCAGGGAATCGAACTCGGGACCTCTGAAAGAGCAGCCAGTGCTCTTAACCACTGAGCCATCTCTCCAGCTCCAAGACAGCTGTTCTTTTCTCTAATGGTTAAAGGAAAATGAAGTCGGGTATGATGGCTCAGGGCTATGATCCCAGCACTTGGGAGGCAAAGAATTGCTGAGAGTTCCAGGACAGGACAGTCTAACATAGACTGAGAACTAGTCTCAAACGAAATAAAGAAGAAATGAAAAAAAGGATTTATAAAGTAATAATTTAAAAAAAGAAAGAAGGAAGGAAGGAGGGAGGAGGAGGGAGGGAGGCAGGCTGGAGAGAGGAGAACTGATTGCTTTTATAAAGGACCTGGGTCCAGATCCCAGTACCCACCTGGTACCTTAAAACCATCCTAACTCCAGTTCCGGGGGCTCCGATACCTTCTTCAGGCCTCCGTGAACACTACATACACATGGTACATAGACATACATGCAGGCAAAACACCCATAGATGTAAAGTAAAAATAAATACATTTTAAAGAAAAACAAAGGAAGAAAGGAGAAGTTGAAAGAGAGATTAAGGTTGCTGGGAACTACTAAGACAGCGTGATGACTCACAGTCTTGAAAACAGCTCTGGAGACAGGCGCCGTGTAACATGTCTGTGATCACAGAGCTTGGGAGAGGGAGACAGAAGGATCAGGAGTTTAAGTTCATCCTTGGCGGCACAGCAACTTCCAGGCTAGCCAGGACCACAGAGTGAGACCCTGTCTCCAAAACAGGCCACACATGCATATACATGGGAAAAAAGAACAAAACAAAAAACAAAAACAGTCCTGGAGGCAAAGCGGTTAAGAGCACTGGCCGCTCTTCCAGAGGACCCACATCACATGGCAGCTCCCAACTGTCTGTAACTCAGCCCTGGGGCAGAAGTACCACTGTGCTGTCTGTTCTGTAGAAACACCCGAGCCCTTTCCCTGACTTCAGCCCCATCACCGCCCCCTCCCCAGGTGCAGCCTCTCACTTTAGCCTTGGGCGTCCAGGATACTGGATTCTTTAAGGCTCAAGGTAAAGCACTGAGCAGTAGTCTGCCTGGCCCTTTCTCTGTTTCCTCCTCCCCTTCCTGCTTCCCTTCCACCCAGGAGTGGGCAGGTATTCCCACGCAGACAAGCCTGCTAAGAAGGAAGGGGGAGAAATTACTCAGAACTATGGAGTTGGCAAGGCGGTCCCAGTCCCAGGGAATCTGTAACCTCTGGTCACAATGCTGGGCAAGAGAAGCCTTTGCTCTGCCTGGATCTCATAGAGACACCGACATGGCTGGTGGCTTGTATTATTGATTGTGTAGCAGTAGACATAGTAAACACTGTAATTTTTCTTCCTGGGCTAGATAGAGGGTACATGATGATAGAATTGGATATTATAAGCAGCTAAGATTCTCTTTGTTTAGAACCCCCTTAATGTTTCTTTTCTCAAATGTTATTTATTTTTGGTTTCTTGAGACAGGATTTCTCTGTGTGGTCCTGTCTGTCCTGGAACTCACTCTGTAGACCAGGCTGGCCTCAAGCTCACAGCGATCCGCCCGCCTTTACCTCCCGAGTGTACCACCACCGCCGGCTCCTGAGGGTGGGGTGGGGATAAAGATGTGAGTCTCAGTTTCCACTTTTCATGTTCATAGCAACAGGAGCAAGACCCTACAAATTTATATATCTCAAACCTCCCACTGTCGATGGATGAGCAGGGACTGGAGGGGATGCTGAAGCCGTTCGGTCAGGTTATCTCCACCCGAATCCTGCGAGACACTAGCGGAACCAGCAGGGGAGTTGGCTTTGCGAGGTAAGAGACGGTTAAGGGTGGCTAAAGAGAGGTAACTTAGGAAGCAACACACACACAGACACACACACACACACACACACAGACACGCACACACAGGTACACACAAGCAGACACACAGGCACACATAGGCACACAGACGTACAAACACGCAGGCACACAGGCGCGCGCGCACACACACACACACACACACACACACACACACACACACACAGTGCCCTTCCCCCCTACATAGACCAAAATCATGGTCAAAAGTACCTGCTAAGAACTAGGAAGGTGACTCAGTAAGTCACGGCACTTTCCACCAAGCCTGATGACCTGCATTTGATCCCCGGAACCCACACAGTAGGAAAGAAAGGACGCTAGCAAGTTGTCCTCTGAACGCCACATGTGCTGTGGTGTGTGCGCTCACACAATAAATACACGAAATGTAATAAAAACTGTTGAAACCCTTGGTAGTGAACCGTGTGTGTGTGTAATATGGTTCTAGCATGTAACTTGAACGGGGTGCCTCTGCCTCCCAGTTGCTGGGATTCCAGGTGTGCTCCACCCTGCGTGCCCCACCCTGCCGTAAGCTGTCCATTCCTGTGCTTTCCCCACCGCCTCCTACTAACAGAGAATGAACCACAGTGCAGAGACTTCATCCTCATGTCAGTAGAATGGGGTGGGAGAAAGGTTTGCTGCACTTCTTGGATCTTTAGGGAGATCTACGTCACAGAGCAGACGCTGTATTGGCTCCTGTTCTCCAGGCGCCCGCTTCTGGGCTCATGTGTCATGAAGCTTCAGCTGATCCTAGCCTACCTAAAAAATGATTTCCTTTTATTTAAGATTTTGTTTGGGTGCTGGCAAGGTAAAGGTGCTTAGTGCCGACAAACCTGCCGACCTGAGTTTGACCCACAGACTCATGTGGAAGAAAGAGGGACTCCCCCAAGTCCTCGATCCCCTGCTCACACGCCCCCCAGGTTCAGAGCCCGTGTATCTGATAGAATAGGGAGTATTAAGATGGCCAGGGCTAGGTCTCAACCCTGTCTCGAGACAGACTGGCGATGTTGCTCAGATGATAGAATGCTTGACTTGTATGCATGAAGTCCCAGTTTGACCTCCAACATGGAGTAAGATGGGTGTGTGGTGATGTGCTTCCCTGCAATCCGGGCTCTGGAAACGTGGAGGCTGGAGGATCAAAAGCTCAAGGGCGGGCTGGAGAGACAGCTAAGAGGTTAGGAGCACTGGCTGCTCTGCCCGAGTTCAATTCCCAGCAGCCATATGGTGTCTCTCAACCATTTGTAATGAGCGCTATGAGATCTGGTGCCCTCTTCTGGCCTGCAGGCATACATGCAGGTAGAAGAACACTATATACATAATAAATAAAAGTTCAAGGTCAATTTGGGTCACAGGAGACCCTGTCTATGAGATAAAAACAAAACTGTTTGGGTGTTGTACATGCCTGTAACCCTTAGGCTTGGAAGGCCAGAACAGAAAAGTCACAATTCCGAGGCTCACCTGGGCTACTTAGAAAGTTCAGAGTTGGTTTTATTAGAGCCTGTCTGGGAAACAACTGCGGAAGCTGAACAAGGCCTGAGCTGTAGCTGGGTGGGGTCACTTGGAGTTCAAGGCCAGCCAGGGTGACAGTGAGGCCCCCCAAATAAATACATAAAATATTAAAAATCAAACAAGTGAGTTTCACTTGAAATGAGATTCTGATACTTATGGAGGGGGTTGTTGTTGTTGTTTGTTTGTTTTTTCAAGACAGGGTTTCTCTGTGTAGCTCTGTTATGGAACTCACGCTGTAGACCAGGCTGGCCTCGAACTTACAGAGATCCACCTGTCTCTGCTGGGATTAAAGGTGTGCGCCACCACCGCCTGGCTGATACTTGTTTGTAGCTCAGAAAATACTGTGCTAAACGGTCTGAGCCCTTTGTGTTTAAGTCTCTTGCCTGCTCATGAATACTCCCTTAGTCAGTGATTCCAAGACTGGCATGAACTGGGTATAGTCGCCACCTGTAACCCTAACATTTGGGAGAGAGAAGTAGGAGGAGAGGGAGCCCTTACACTACATGAGACCTATCTTAAAGAACAAAACATCCCCCTCCACCCCCCTTTTATTGGTAACTAATAGAGGTTTTGGTTAAAAAAAAAATTAATAGGCTCAAACTGAGTAGCGCCACCTAATGGCAATTCCTGGCATGACAAGATGAAAATTCACTGGGCTTGAGTTCATCGCTTTTGAAACACATTTTCTTTTATTTTTTAAATTTTTACTTGATTTTTTTTTAAAAAAAAAACTGAAACATGATATGGTCTTGTTGTGAAGCCCAGTATGGCTTTGAACTTGAGATTCTCTTGCCTCAGCCTCCTAAATACTGGAACTGCAGACTTGGGCCACTATGCCGAGCTCACGTGTCCTCTAGGGCAGATGCTCTTAGTTCATGGCGTCCTTAGTTAGCATAGCACCTCCTCCTCCATCCCAAAAGAAATGGTCAACACGTCAAGTCATTACACAGTCAGACAGTTTGGGGTGGACTTTTGGGAGGTTTAGGGTGAGGTGTGCTTGCACCAGTATGTGGGTGTCAGCGTCACATCTGGCGTCTCTGTATGTGCTGGGGACTGAACGCAGATCTCTGTGCTTTACCAAGTGGGCTCCCTCCTCATCCCTGTGCCTGTTTGTTTTCTTTGCAGTAGGGCTAAAACCCCAGACTTCCATCATGCTAGGCACGCAGTGTTCCGCTGAGCTATATCTCCGTCCTTTTGACTTTTCATTTTGTGACAGCATGTCCCAGTTTGGTCTTCGTTGCTGTGATAAAATCCCCTGAAGGAAGACAACTTAGGAAAGACATTTATTTCCGCTCATTGTTGGGTTCATCTCAGGAAAGTCAGGGTGAGAAACCAACCAGTCCAGTCATGCCCACAGTCAAGACAAGAGAGCAACTGGCTACGGTGATGCTTGCTGTAAACCTAGCACTCCAGAGGCAGAAGTAGGTGGAGATTAGGCCTGATCTGTATAGTAAGTTTCAGACCAAAAAGGCTTACATAGTGAGACTCTGTTAAACAAAACAAAACCCACAGCAGAATGAACTCATGCATGCTCACCTGCCTGGTCACACAGTTTAGGGTTCCCTGCCTTGGGAATTGGTGCCACCCATGTGAATTAACTGAAGATCGTCCCCTGGAGACACTGAGACTTCCCAGGGACTCTGGGTTGTGTCCAGTTGACAAAGCTGACCATTCCACAGGGTCTCAAACGCTGACAAGACTGGCCTTGGCCCTACTCTGTAGCTAAGGTGGATTTTGAATCCCAGCTCACCAGTAGCTGGGACTGAAGGACGGTCAGTGTCTGTTTATCCATTTATATTTTATTAATTTTATTATTTCATGAACTTGTGTGTCTCTATGTGTGGGCGTTGGTGTGCTATGGTAGGAGGGTGCAGGTCACATGATAACTTTTAGGGATCACTTTTCCTCTTTGACCATGAGGGTTCCAGGGATTAAGCTCGTGTCGTTAGACTTGACACGAGAGACATCAGATTCGCAGGTTCCTTGACCTGCTGAGCATCTTGCCAGCCCCTGGGCAGAGCTGCTGAAATCTCAGCTAGCGTGGTCGTAAAGCAAGGTCCCATTTCAGAACTGTGAAGCGAGCCGGCCTGTGGGTCCTGTATCCAGTGCACATTTGAGGGGTAGAGGCGGACATTTTCCAAGCGTTCTCACAGCTTTGGGTGGTGCACAGCCACTGGCACCCACATCTTCAGTTCTTTCTCAGTCCCCTTCCCCCAATGGATGTCACCAAGGAACGTGAGCCCTCACCCCCACCTTTAAAAAGCATTTATTTATTTATCAACTGCTGGGAAGAGAGCTGGCTTTAGGAGGAAGCCAGAGGACAGCTCACAGGAGTCAATTCTGTGTAGGTTCTGGGGTCATTCAGGTCATCAGGCTTGGCCATGGTACCAGTGAGCTGTCTCACAGGCCGCCGCATGAGCCCCTCACTACCAATCTTAATAGATAATTGGGCCCTGATAATTATTGCCAGAAATAAAAAATATCAACAAAATCATTGCTTGTGCATTTTCATCAAATAAACAATTGAAACTTACTTATTTATTTTCAAGGCAGGGTCTCTCTGTGTAGCTTTGGAGCCTGTCCTAGAACTAGCTCTGTAGACCAGGCTGGCCTCAAAACTCACAGAGATCCGCCTGCCTCTGCCTCCTGAGTGCTGGGACTAAAGGTGTACACCACCACCACCCGGTGAGGAATTTTTTTTAATGGTTCAGTAGCCACTTGAAAACAATTTTAAATTTGTCTCGTGTGTACATATGTATGTGTTGAGGTCAGAGGACAGCCATCAGGAGCTGGCTCTCTCCTAACATCATGTGGGTTCCAGAGATGGAACTCAAGTCGCTGGGCCTGCTGGAAGGTGCCTTTTCCCCCGAACCCCCCTCATCTACCCTCCGTTAGGAATTCTATAGTAAAGGGCCAGGGATGCACCCAGTCAGTAGAGTGTTTGCTTGTCGCAGCCACATCGCCCTTGGCTCAGTCTTTACTACTGCATAAAAGTCAGACACGGTGGAGCATTTCTGCAATTGGGGCACCGAGGCAGGAGCATCAGAAGATCAAAGTCATCTTTAGAGGATTCGAGGCCAGTCAGGAGCATCCACACACTCTGTCTGAAAAACAAACAAACAAAAAGGAAACGCAGCTGCCTTGAGATGAACACGTGTGACAGGAACTCCATGTGTGAACCACATAAAGCTTCTGGAGCATGCATGGGACTAGGGACCTGGGTTCTCCTCACTGAGTGTGTGTGGAACACGTGTATACCCCGGACAGGAACAGCCTTACCTCTCATATGCTTCTTAGGATGGAGTCCACAGAGAAGTGTGAAGCCGTCATCACCCACTTTAATGGGAAGTATATCAAGACGCCCCCTGGAGTGGCAGGTGAGTCCTCTGGGACTCGGGCTGGGGGCCACTGGAGGGACACGCCCAGTGTGACGGTCCAGCCCGGCTGCTCTGTTCTATTACCAGCACCATCTGACCCTCTGCTCTGCAAATTTGCTGATGGCGGGCCAAAGAAACGCCAGAACCAAGGAAAATTTGTGCAAAATGGACGGGCCTGGCCGAGGAATGGAGACATGGTAGGCAGACCTGAGGAAACACAGACTCCTAAGGCGTTAACGTGGGGTGGCAGTGGCCTCGGCCTGGTTTCTGCGCACGAGGGCGGCACTCGAGGGCGGCACTCGAGGGCGGGCTGTAGCTGCGTGCTGCTGGTTGTTTACTCGCCCTTCGGTGCATATTTGTAACCTGCAGAGTTCCAAAACCCCGCAGCGGGACTTGTGGGTACTCTGGGCTCAAAGTAAGAACCCTGTGTTCTTTCTTATAGGGTGGTATGGCTTTGACCTATGACCCCACCACAGCTCTACAGAACGGGTAAGGATGCGTCAGATGATTAAGTCACCTGAAAATGTCAGTGGCGCGGGTCCAGGCATTTGGGTGTTTCGTTTTGATTCTCAAATAGCAGGCAGTGGATGGAGGGGGCTCACTGAGCAAGGCCTTTCCCACAGGTTCTACCCAGCGCCATACAGCATCGCCCACAGCCGGATGCTCGCTCAGTCTGCGCTCTCCCCATATCTCCCATCTCCTGTGTCCTCCTATCAGGTAAGGCATGTTTCCCCCCTATTGTTTAAGTGAAGAAATAGGAAGCTTTTTTATATATGTACACATAAAAATGCTATGTAAGAGCATAACGTGTGACGTATGTGTGTATATAAATAGCATGCATCCCTACACGTGTATCTGCTCATACATGCAGTGTATATGCATATAAACACTTTGAGAGGCATCCTCATGAGCTCAGCATGGTGGCGCACACCTTTAATCCCAGCACTTGCAAGGCAGGTGGATCTCTGTAAGTTCGAGGCCAGCCTGTTCTACATAGGACATAGGCTAGCCTGGTCTCCATAAGAGACAAGTCCTCCTCTTTCTGTTTCTACCGCCCCACAAATAAAGGCCGGTGCGCGCCCTACTGTGTTACTTTCATGTGGACGAAAACAGATACACAGGGCTTCGGCAGAAACTTCCTTTATAAATTGATTTATAAATATAGCCATATTTAACATATTTAATGTATTGTCACTCTCACAACACCTTTTTAGGTCCTTTTACTTTAGTGTGTGTTTTTGCTTCTGTGTATGTACGTATTTGTATTTCATGTGTGCCTGGTGTCTGGGGTCAGGTGTTGGATCCCCTGAAACAGATGCCTGCGAGCCACAACGTGGGTACTAGGAACCAAACTAGGGTCCTCTGGAAGAACAGGTACTCTTAACTGCTGAGACATCTCCCATCCCTCAATACTTTTCTTTTTTTGAAAGATTTTTTTTTATTATGTATACAACATTCTGCCGCCATGGATGCCTGCACACCAGAAGAGGGCGCTTGATCTCATTACAGATGGCTGTGAGCCACCACGTCATTGCTGGGAATTGAACTCAGGACCTCTGGAAGAGCAGTCAGTGCTCTTAACCTCTGAGCCATCTCTCCAGCCCCCTCAATACTTTTTTAAAATAATATTTATTCTCATTCTACATGTTTGTGTAGGTCAGAAGACAACGTGTGGCAGGTTCTCTCCCTCCACCTTAGGGGTTCTAGGGATCTAATTCAGGACTTCAGCTCTGGTGACAAATGCCATTTCCTAATGAGCTAGTGCAACACCCTTCTCTGTGTGGCCCAGGCTGTCCTGGAACTCACTGGCCTCCAACTCAGAGATCCACCTCTTTCTGCCTCCTGAGTGCTGGGATCACCCAGCCCTTTGCTTACTTTTAACTGTGTTGTCTGACTTATATGTTCCTAATATTTTATAAATAGTTTGTTCTATTTTATAAATAGTTTTTTGGTGGGGTGGGGGTATTTCAAGACAGGGTTTCTCTGTAGTTTTGGAGCCTGCCCCTGAAACTAGCTCTTGTAGACCAGGCTGGCCTCAAACTCAGAGATCTGCCTGTCTCTGCCTCCTGAGTGCTGGGATTAAAGGTATGCCAACCCCCATATATAGCACAATTAATGAAAACCAGAGACAGAAATTGGGGTTCAACTTGAAGGTCAGAAAAGCAAAATAGCCAGCCACTGGCTCTTACCTCTACCTCAGTCCAAAATGGCGAGCCTGCCTCCAGGAATCTCAGAATGAGACCGAGAGCTGTCTCCTCCAGTTTTATAATCCTCTCTAGTGCTAGGATTAAAGGTGTGCACCATCACTGCCCAGTTTCTATGGCTAATTAGTGTAACTGCTGGGATTAAAGGTGTGTGTCACCACAGCCTGGTCTGTAAGGCTGATCATTGCAGCTGTATTGCTCCCCGAGCTTCAGGCAAGCTTTATGTATTAAAATACAAATGAAGTTGGGTGGTGGTGGCACATCTCAGCAGAGGCAGGCGGATTTCTGTGAGTTAGAGGCCAGCCTGGTCTACAAAAGCTAGTTCTAGGACAGCCTCCAAAGCTACAGAGGAACGCTGTCTCGGAAAAAAAAAATACAAATGAAATATCACAATATCCATAGCCTGGAAAAAAGCAGCTTGCTTGTGTTGTGTTCTGAAGGAACATGTCAGTTGGTGGGGGCTTTGCTTAACTTCTCGGGCACTGAATCTAGGCAGTTAATGTTTTTATTTGTTTTTGCTTATATCAGAGAGTGACCCAGACATCTCCTCTACAAGTTCCTAACCCATCCTGGATGCAACACCAGTCGTACCTCATGCAGCCTTCAGTGAGTGTTCAGAAGTGGGCAGAAGCCAAAGAGATGATTTGATGTAAAGAAAAGCAAAGGGCTTTGATGGCAGGATGTGTGGGTGTGAGTTCTTACTTAGAGCATTGTGAAGCTCGTTCTGTGAGTTCTTAGACAAAGGTCTCTGCAGACTGAAGGTCAGGGTGCTGCTCCTGTCCCAGAGCTGGGCTGCTGCTCACGTTAATTTCGAGGCCTTGAAAATGGTAGCAGATGATTCTCTAGTTCCTATGTCATCTGCTTCTGCTCACCCAAGCCTTTAATCCCAGTACTTGGGAAGCAGAGACAAATGGAACTTTGTGTAGTCAGCCTGATCTACATAGAGTTCCAGATAGCCAGGGCTACATAGATACATAGAGACACTGTCCAAAAAAAGAGTTGATGGCCCTGTTTGTCATCAGCCGCTGCTTGAGTTGTCTTTGTGGAAGGTTGCTGCCTAACCATTTCCTTTATTCCCTCCTCTAGGGCTCAGTTCTTACACCAGGGATGGACCACCCTCTTTCTCTCCAGCATGCCTCCATGATGGGACCTCTTACCCAACAATTGAGTCACCTGTCACTCAGCAACCTGGGCACGGTAAAGGGTTGTCTCTAAGCATCATTCCTCCAGAGTCAGGCTGCCTGTGAAACACTAGCGCCAGCCCTTCCGAAGGATGGAAGCATGCTTTCAGTCAGTGAAGGTGCACTCAGACCTGGGATAAAAGCTTCTAATCCCCGAGGCTGAGTAAGATATTTAAAAGTTCAAGGACAAGCTGGGAATATAGCCATTCTGCCCTACTCCCTACTTCTAGGTGCCTCCCAGTCCCAGAATTAAGTAAGTTTTAAATGTTTGTGTATTTGCTCAGGAATCAGTGTGTATTTCCTAGAATTCATCAGAATACTAAAAGGAAGGGATGGAGCAGCTGGGGTTTCTTTTAGGCCTGACTTGTGCAGGGAAGGGGCGTGGAGGGAGGCGGTGGGAAAGCAGTGAAAGCAAGCAGGCCTGTCTCCAGACTGGTGTCCTTGAACGCCGTCAGGACCTTCTTGAGAAGCACCCACACCACTAAAGGAATCTTTGCTTTTCAGAGCTCCCAAGTGCTCTAGACTACCTGAGAACCATTGTTCTTTTTCATTCCAGTTCATGCCAACAGCTGCTGCTATGCAAGGAGCTTACATCCCCCAGTACCCTCCTGTGCCTTCTTCCAATGTTTCTGTTGAGGTAAGAACATTTCTTTGCAGCGAGGCTAGGACACAGTGAAAGGCAGACTTCTGTCCTGAGCAAGCACTTTCTCTCACAGCACTGCTGATTCTGGTCCTCACTAGGGGGTGTGAGTATAGGAAGGAAAGGGCTGGCTCACTGGTGTTCACTTCAGACCAGGATGCAGCTTGAGTTGCTTAAATGCTCTAAAAATTAGCAGTTGTTTATGTATTTCCCAAAGTAGCTGTACCACTTCACCCTCTTTTCAGCTTGATGCTGTGAGCACACTTGCATTTGGGGAGTGAGTTGAGGATGCCATTCAGCTTTGGCTGACTTGGTGAGGCTTCTTCAGTGGGAGGCGAGCGTAGGAATGCATCAGTAACTTTCCTTGGCTGTGATACAGGAGAGCAGTGGTCAGCAGAGCCAAGTGGCAGTGGAGACACCCACAGACCATGGGGTCTTTCCTTTCCAGTTCAGTAAGTAACGAGGTAAGACCTGTAAGCTGGGGGCATGCTGTTATGCTGAACTGGGAGATGGCTGCTGGGTCTTGTCATGTCCCCTCCACACCCTCTCTACCTTCTGCCTCCTTTAGGCAAGAGCCCACATCTTTGTTAAACAGAAATGCATTTTTGGAGATGCTTCCAGACTGCAGGTTACAGGCGATCTGTAGACCACAATGAGCACTAACACGTGGTCATCATTTCCTCATAGGCCCAGGCCTGAGAAAAGACGACTGTGCATGCCTGCCTTGGGCTCTTTTCCTATTGATGGAGGGAACCATGTTGCTCTTCGTATGTACTTTATCCAAGATCAGAAAACTTACACTGGCTGAGCTGCCTCCCATCTTCACAGAGAGGTTGGGATATGTTGGAAATTACTTACGAAGGCAAATGATTTCTTAAAAAAAAAAAAAAAGTGCTGGAAAATGGAAGGAGCCCTGCTTGCCAAGTTTAGTTATGGACTATTTCTGATGTGTCATGTGTTTTAAATATGCAGCCCTAAAATTTTTTGTTTTGCAAAGCTCTCAGTTCACAGGGTCTCTGTGTAGCCCTGGCAGGCCAGCCTTGAACTCACAGGGATCCTACCCACTCTGTCTCCTGAGTGTACCACTATGCCTGGCTGCTGTTTTTTCCTTTTTTAACTTCTTGTCCAGATTGTTCTTTTTCTTTTCCTTCAGCTAAGCCTTGCCTACTTTGCCTTTTTACAGTTTTTAATTTTATGAATTTGCCTTAAATTTCATGTGGGACTGGCAAAAGGGAGAGAATTGCAGACAGTGGAGGTGGCTTTCCCTCTGCTCTCTGAGAAGAGACTGGAGTTTTGACTTTGGGAAGCAGACATGTGACAGCCTTTGGAAGTTACTCTTCAACCAAATTTGGTGGCAAGTTCAAAGAGGATGAGGACTACAACAGACATGGGTCTGACTGGAGCCCAGCTTCAGGAATGCCTGCTCTGCCTCCTAGAGGGTCTTCATTCTATTCCAGGTCTCACAGCCCCATCCCTGCTGCTTGTGGCCTTGCTCAGTCCCCCTAAACATTCTTCCCCCATGTGCAAGTTCTGCCCATATGAGGTTGTTGCCGTGTCTATCATCAGCTTTGACTGCCATGCTTGGGGAGTGGTCATGTGTGCCTGGCACCTAGCTGTAGATCAAGGATAGTCCTGAACACCGACAGAACAGAACCCCACCTCACCTCCTCCACCCCTCACTCCCTGGCAGCTAGAGTATTTCCCTGCCTTCTGGAGTAGGCTAAATCCCCAGCCCAGCCCTGGACAGAGCCTCGTAATATTCATCAGGAGTGCCAGCTGCACATAGGTGTCCTCAACAGTCTTTAAAGTTTAAGAAATTCAGCAGGAGCTGTCTCAGCAGGGCTCGCTCATATGCGTGAGCCAAATGCAGTTTGAAGGGCTGAAGGTGAGAACTGTGCTGGGCACTGTGCTGGGCTTGCTTGAGAGAGGACCAAGCTCTTTGTGCAGCACCCTGCCCAGCCCTAGAGTGTTTGGACCCCTTGCCCAGGGAACCAGAACACAGAAATCACTTTCCTTCTTGTGGAAGGACAACAGGGTGTTAGGATAGGAAAAGGAAATACATCAGCTCATTACTTACGCCAGGAGGGACCTTGAAATGTGTGTCTTTTTAACTATCAAATCCAGTTTCACCTCCACTAGACAATCAGACAAAGCAATGGAGAGTGGGAAATGTGCTCAGAGGCTTGTATAGGAAGGAAGGGTTGAACGTGGTGGTGGGAAGACACTGGCTTACTGGTGTAGCAGCTGTACATACTGCAGAACTGGGACTCCTGGTCTGACTGCACTTCAGTGCATTCTGGGAATAAAGGGCTCACGGCAGTGGTGAGCATAGAGTATAAAGCACAGTATGGGCTAGAGATGGCTCCGGTTGGGAGCACTGGATACACTTCCAGAGGTCCTGAGTTCAATTCCCAGCAATCAAGTGTGGTCTGGTGCCCTCTTCTGGCCTGCACACATACATGCAGGCAGAACACTGTATACATAATAAGTAAAAAGAATAAAATTACCAGATTTTTTTCACTGGTGCTTCCAACCTCAGGGAGGTCAGTTATATTCAGTTAAAGCCCTCAGTGACAGAACACTAAAAAGGCCGCTTTCTTGTTAGTGGTCTTTAAGGAAAACAAAACCAAACCAAGCCCAGAACTCTACTGAGTGGGCTATTTGGAAGCTCTGCTGGTAGCCAGGGCCAGTAGGGTCCTGTTGTCACCACTGCCCTGTCACTACCTCTTAAAACTTGTTTCTTTTTCTGTAGCTCTAAAAGCAATTTGAATGGCTGATGGTTTTAAAAATTTCAATTACCTTCTGAGGTTTCCTCTGTGAGTACTGTTTAGCTTCCAGTGTTTCTGGTTGAGCAGGTGCGAGCATGGGAAATGAGGGTAACCTATAATTTTTTTTTATAGTGGTTAATGGCACTGTGTAATTCTGCTTAGTGATTGCCACCCTCTCTTGTTCGCTCATTACTCAGTAGTGACTGGGGACAGGAAAGAAGGATGTAGGCTGTAGAGGGATGGTCCGCAGGACACAGCTCCACAGGAAGCACCCCACCACACTACCCAAGGCTCTCAACACCATGCCCAGTGCTTCCTGAATCCTGCAGGCATGGAGGTCAGACTTTTCTCTTTACATCTCACCCCCAAATTGTTTCCAGTTAGAACACACTAGAGTCCTAGGATGGTGTCATCCTTTACCAGGCTCCAAGCCTACCCAACCCACCTCAGGGTTACTAGCATCCCTCCTGGGATTCTTAAAGTGTTTTTAAGCCAAGGATTTGAAGAACTGCCCAGCCTGTGAAGTTAGGTGCCTCTGAAGAGGGAACAGCTCGTCAGTAATAAAGAGTTTTTTATTGTTTTGTTGTTCCTGCTGTCCTTCCCTCCCAGACATGCCCCCACCTTCTGGAAAAGTGTCAGAACTGCATTCACTGAAGGCTAGTTGTTGCCTTCTTAGCCAAGAGCAATACAGTTGAGTCAGGTCCAAACTTACCCCAGCCCTTTCTAGACCTGAACTCAGAGCAGGACTAGTCTCAACAGTTGGTTATACAGGCAAATCAAATCTGTACCTTGTCACATGGTTCTTCACAGTTCCTCTGTGAACCAAGCACTCCACTTCTGAGCAGCCTGCCCTTTCAAAGTGCCTGTATGCATTAGAGTCCTGAAGTTGGCAGGCTCCAGCAAGGCCTCTCCTCAGCAGCTAAAACCTCTGGGTGCCTCTTCTGCTCCGTGCTGACCCTTGCTGGAGGTGGTCTCCATGTGGCAGTGACGAGAAAGCTTGATGCCCTCATCACCCTTGTGACCGTGGCTCTCGGACTGGCATCTGCTTGTTCAACTCCTGTTCTCCTTACTCAACTACCTCAGTCTCTCAGTTCAGCACAGGCAAAGCACCTGCTCCTCACCCTTCACCACCCTCGTCTTTGAAACAAACGCAGACTCTTCAGTTCAAGAGCCGAAACTGCCTTCTGGATTGTCTTCTCTAGCAATTTGTGGTCCCTGATCATCTACAATAGCGTGAGTGCTCCAGATCAGTCCCTGTATGGCAAGCCAGGGCCTAGGCTGTGCAGTGACCACCTTGGGCAATTACTAGTTACCCCAGAAACACCAGCTTCGGAGCAGACTAAGACCTCAGAGAATAAGAGAATAGACTTGGAGGCTGCCGTAGAGCTGAGAGGACCAGAATGGACGTCTCTGCTCCTGCCCCTCTCTGGGGCAGGTGACAACTCTATTGGACGGACGCACTGGAGAGGAAGTTTAATTTATACTTAAAACACATTTTGTACATTTCCCCTTCACCCAGAGACCTGTAGTTCTCACCCTCCCATCTGCAGTGCTACCTCTTGCCCGCTCTCCTTGGCTCACTTCTGCCCTCCCTCCCCTGCAATTTGGAAGAGCTTTACTTTTGCTAACTTCAATCCTTTTTTTTTTCTTTTTTTAAAATAAAACACAAAAGTTGGTCTTAGTGTCTTATCCATGAAAACTGGTGATCTGCCTGCTCTTGCCATCACGGCACACAGGGTCTGCTCCACACTGGATGGGGCTGCTGGGAGTCAGACCCACCCCACACTCATTCTGCCTTAGGGAAGCTTGCTTCAGGAGAGAAACACGAGTCTTCTTGAGTTGCTATCAAATGTGGTTTTATTCAATGACAAGCACTTTTCTACAGCCGCACCTGTGGAACATCACATGGCAAAAACGAGGTTTTTTTATTCTCTACACTTTTTTTCCTTTTTTAAACCTTATTAAAAATGAGATTGGTCCTAAAAATATAGAAAGAAATAAATTTAAATTCACAAAAAACTGTACATTATCAAAAAGTCACTAAAACACCACATTTGGTTATATAAAAAGTCAGTCCCTTTTGTTGTAAAAGGAACATGGAAACTTGTTGGTGTTGATGGTTTCTTGCTGTTACCAGATAGGGGAGGGGACACAAAGGGCAGGGGTGGGTTGTTTTATTTTTAACCTGCTTTCCCTACCAAATACTCTGTCAATAAGAGAAAATCCACCTAGTTCAAGGGGCATTGAAGATGAGAAAGGAAAAGTGAGGATGGCCCCTTTGATCATGCCCTACCCCACTTCTTCAGATCAAGTCTAGGACCTCCACCCCGCCTTATGAGTGCCTGGTCCCTAGGAAAGAGCTGGAACTGGAGAGGAGCAGACAACGAAGGCCACACTCTCCCTTCCACCTCCAACAATGAACAACTCCAGTACATTTTATGCCAAGGGAAACTTGCTATGGGGGAAGTTATCCCCAGTTATAACAGTTCCAAACATCTGACTGACACAAAGTTTGTTACGGCGCAGTTATTTAGATAAAATATAAATATTTATGCATAATATAAAGTCAATTCAAATATTCTTCAATCCACCTCTTATTTAAAAGCAAAAAAAAAAATTCTCAAATAAAGTTAAGTTTTGAGGTTTTTCGACAGAAAAGGCGACTTTAGAAATAGGCAATAGGGAGTGGAGTGAGGGCAGGGTGAAAAGGAGTAAGGGCTGCCCAGGAACCTGCACTGCCCTGCCCCCCAGTACTGCTGGAGTATAAGGAGCACTCCACCTCACCTGGCACCCTCGCCCCCACCAATGGAACATTGCTTGGATGCCTCAGCTCTCTGCTTAGGCCAGCTAGCAGCCACCTCCCCAGTGCAAGTACCCGTAATTTCTGATGGGAGGGGCTCTGCTGAGCAGGAAAGCAGGGGGCCAGAGGCCCATGGCTATAGCTCGGAGTTAGCAGCTTTCCTCTCATGTGTTGGGGGCTTAACCTGGGCTTGGTCATACACAGGGCAGTGGCAGAACCAGAATCTCTCCTCTCTACCCATCCTGTGCTCCAGGAGCCGCTGCTGGGGATATGAAGTAGATGCAAGGAAGGAAAACACAACTAAACCCAGATACTCATGGTTTAGGAAAGATCCAGTTCTACCCCTCTCCCAGAAACTCTCAAGACTCAAAGCTACTGAGAGGAGAGGGGGTTCCTGCTAAAGATTGCACAGTTTGAAGAGGCTGGAACAGAAATAACCACGAGGACAGCCTTGTCCCCAGAGAAACAGTTCCTGTGTTTTCCCAAAGACAAAAAGTGATGGTATGGAACGGCAAAGGTGGGAATAAAACATAGTCGAGGAAACACAAATGGGTCCCATTACACAAAACAAGGTCACAATCACAGCTCTCATCTGTGTGCAAGGGCAGGCACGCACACATGTGCGCACATACACACACAAACAACACACACACACACACACACACACACGCACACCTCTCCCCCTCTCTCTGAGGGCCTCCATCTCGGAGCAGCACTCAGACTCAGCAGTAGTTGTCCCTGAGGAGTTCCCAAGAGGGAGGTTTGGGAAGCGGGGAAGGAGGCTGGAAGGCCCAGGGCACCCACCTGCCCGCCTGCCCTCTCCCCAGTCACAGAGTTTCAGAAAAGGCTAGAAACTCAGCACATGAGGAGGATCCAACATTTTAGAGGGTTACCTATTGGCAGGAAGATGAGCACAGAGACAGGGAGCACTGAACTTTGTTTTCTACGTAAGGGCAAAGGGGAAAGAAGAACCCGTACACGATAGTTTTACATTATTGGGTGGGACAAGAATTGTAAAAATAAGGAGAAGGGGAAGAAAAGAAAACGTGAGAGAGAGCAAGAAGCAGGGAAGGGACTGAACATGGAAGCAGCATGTTCAGGGCCCGGTGTCCGGCTCGACACACTTGGGAGTTAAGTCCACTTTACTGGCCGTCACTGCGGGTCCGCACACAGTACAGAGTGTTTCTCGGTTTCACACATTCACTAGAACTATTGCTATTGTTAAATAGCCCCAGGATGCTGGGGCATGTACAGGGAGGGGAAAAAGCCGGGAAGAGGAAGGGACTTCTTTACCCCTCTCCATTTTAATCAAGGAAAAAAACCAGGAAAAATTCTTTTGCTTTTTTGGCTTTCCGTCCAGAAGGACCTCATCTCTACATCTCTTATTTGAGGAGCAATAGGAGGAAGGGAGAAAAGCAGATTAGGGACAAGAGGGTGTGGTGCTGCCAAGGGCAGAGGCAAACATCAGCAATGTCTGATTAGTCCACCCAGGGCAGCCATCAGCAGGTGAGAATGGCAGGTTCTTGTTAGGAAGGTTGGAAAACACACCACCTTCCTTGCCTCACAGATTGGCCTGTTTTCCCTGATAAAATTCCTCCCAGCGGCTCTCGAAGAAGCGGCGCATGATGTGCCCAGCCTTGCCCACTTCAGAGTCATCCTCGTTGAAGGTCTGGCAGTTGTCAAAAACCAGAAGAGCATCAGCTGCAAACTCCTCTGAACTAGTATACCTGGACCAAGGGGAAAATGGGTTGTGAACTGTTAAGAGTTGAGAAAAAGAGAGAGAACAAGAGAGAGAACGGGAGAGAGAGAGAGAGAGAGAGAGAGAGAGAGAGAGAGCGAGAGAGAGAGAGAGCGCGAAATATCTTCTTACCCTCCTCGGAGCAGCCGTTCTCGCATGGTGGAAAAATCCATAGGGTTCTTGATGATGCGCCGGTACCCACTCACCAACCGAGGGTTCACAGGCTCCAGGAAAGGCCAGGCTGAGTCATGGGACTCCATCTCCATCAGGATGATCCTGTTAGTTATAAGAAGCACACTCTGACTCCTCCCAGCCCTTCTGGAACACACAGAGCCAGCTATCCCTATAACTCACTAACTCACTCGCAAAATGTGAGATCGCTGTGGTGGCTTCTCATTGAAAGCCTCCGTCTCTTGGAGGGAGACAGTCCATCTTCTGGGCACCGAGACATTGCTGGGCTTTCTCGGCTTCTCGACAGCATCCGGCGTCGGCGACTGTCACCCTCTGGTAAGTTCAGTGGGAAACTACTTTTCCGCTTCTGGCCTCGTTTTGGAAAACCAGGCCTCTGAGAGAATTCTTCCTCTACCTGCTGAGGTTAGGTGTATACAGTAAGAACAGCAGTGCGCTCCTGTTCCTCAGAATCCTGCCTACGAGTGACTGTGGCTTCAGATGCTCACACATAAGCCAGCATGTGAATTCATTCAGGTAATCAATGGGAGGGGCAGTAAACGGAATGAGTTATTACTGTTTTAAAGAGGAAATGACTGGGGCTAAAGAATGTAAGTGATTGGGGGCTGGAGAGATGGCTCAGCAGTTAAGAGCATTGCCTGCTCTTCCAAAGGTCCTGAGTTCAATTCCCGGCAACCACATGGTGGTTCATAACCATTTGTAATGAGGTCTGATGCCCTCTTCTGGTCTGCAGACAGAATTTTATACATATATATGTGTGTGTATATATGTATACATATATATATACACATATACATATATGTGCGTATATATGTATACATATATATACATATATACATATATATAATTTAAATATATATAAATATAATATATAATAACAAATAAATATTTAAAAAAAGAATGTAAGTGATTTCTTCATAGATGGAAGGACTCAACCCCAAACATGTTGTCAGAGGCCCGGCCCATTCCAGGGTAGCATGAGGGCAGATGGAACTGGTGGATTATTTAAAAAGGGGGGGGGGCGCGGGTGGTGGTGATGCACACCTTTAATCCCAGCACTCGGGAGGCAGAGGCAGGAGGATCTCTGTGAGTTCGAGGGCAGCCTGGTCTACAAGAGCTAGTCCCAGGGCAGGCTCAAAAGCTACAGAGAAACCCTGTCTCGAAAAACCAACAAACAAAGAAACAAACTCTGACTCTTGCTTAAGAATGGGAATCAAACAGTTGAACCTTACCTGTGCCAAACAGACAGCACAGAACCAGTCTCCTTCTGGGACAGCCTCCATTTTGGGTCGATGACAATAAATGTGGCAGCCACGGTCACATCCATCACAAAGCAGGAGGAACTCATCATTGTCACCCTTCCGGCAGACTAGGCAGGTCTAGACCAAAGTTGTGAGGAAGCAAAGTGAATCCTTAACACTCTGCCTATTGCTGATCCCAGTCTTACCAAGCCAGCTGTCTCTAGTGCTCTCCAAGCATCTTCAGACTCTTACCACTTTGTTGACAGACTTCTCCCATGCGATGGAGCGTTCCAGCTGGCCCATGCACAAGCACACCTGGGCTGCACTACGGCATCTTTCAAGTGTCTGCCGCCAGACACGAACACGAGGGGTAATCTCGTATGATCTGGTGGGGAAATCTAGGATGAGGAACAAGAAGACTTCTCTCTCCCAGGCTAAGAGACAGGCAGCAGGAGTCACTCACATCTCAGTAGTGCTGCCATCTGGGGCGCCGTTGGGTGTGCTCAGCAGGGCCTTCTCCACTACCACCTCATGGGCTGCCCAGAGGGGCTCCCGCAAGTAACGCCGCTCTACATTCTGTTCCAGAGCAGCCAATCGCATCACAGCAAGGTCCAGGGGGTTGGTGTTTTGCCGCTGAGGTACTGCCCCTTCCCTGCCCCGTCCTCTCCAGGGTATGTCCTCCTGACTGTCAGGGAGATGCTCGCAGTAGGCCAAGTCTTCTCGGATAGAATCTGGGCTAGGGCATGTCCAGCCCTTCCAGTGAGAAAGAGGAATAAAACACATTGTAAAGGGAAACACTTCATATCATGGTAGGTCATTCAAGGGCTCTTCCTGACACCTTCCCCCCAGCTAGATGTAGTGGCTCATGGTGGCAATCCCAGCACCTGGATGGCCAAGGCAGAAGAATGCCCTGAATCCCAGGCCAGTCTAACTACAGAGACCTTGTTTCAAAAACCAGAACCTAGAGCTGGAGAGAGGGCACAGCAGTTAAGAGTGCAGGCTGCTCTTCCAGGGTATCCAGGTTCAATTCCCAGCACCCACTACACGGGGCTCGAGCGAACTATCTGGTAAGGCCCAGTTCCACAGGCTATGGCACTTCTGATCTGAGGGCACCATACACACACTATACAGACATACATGCAAGCAAAACATCCACAACACAAAAGTCAAAACAGAAAGTTAAACAAAACTAAAACCCTCCCCTAAACAGCTCCCTACCCAGTGCCAACCCCAGTGTACCCGAATCTGCAGATCAGACAGGACAACACGCTGCTCTAGCTCCTCTACCCACTGAAGCACAGTCAGGTCTGTCTCGTAAGTCTTCTCTTTGGGGGACCAGCTCATAATTCCTTCTTCCAAGGCAGGCAGCTGACAAGGTTCAAAGATGGGATCTGAGAAGAGAAGGAGAAAGCAGAGGAGTGGGCTATCGAGCTCCTGTGCACAGCAGCTGCTCCAGCTCAGGCTGGGGCAAGGCTCTGTATTTACCAGTTAAGGGCTGTAAGCAAACTTCCTGCAAGAAGTCCTTATGCTTGCTAAGATGTTTGTGTAGCGCCTTCTCCCTGATGCCTCGAGGATGTAGTGCCTTGAGCATGACGTCCAGTGTCTCAGGATCTCGGATCCACCACCAGCCAGAGCACATCTCTATGTACAGAGAGTTATGTATATGGGCAAGGGGTGGAAACCACATGAGTCACACTGCCTACAATGGAAACTGCTATTACCTCCATGCTTACCCCATCCTAGCTAAGCTTGCTCACCAGGGGGGATAGGCTGGGCTGTCAGCTGGCTTAAGTAACGCTGCTCCACCTGCTTGAAGAACTTGCTAGGAGGTCTCCCTCTTCGTTTTGGTTGTCCCAGCCCTGTGGGACTCTGTGGCATTTCTTCAGAGTCTCCTGATGGCCTCTTAGTGCCCCTTCCAGGCAAGTGGGTGGAAGAGAACTGCCCTGGAGAACAAGGATTGGCAGCACCAGAAGTAATCATCTGTAAATAAGAAAACATGAAGGAATGAAGATACTTTTTGTCTACAGGTTTCCTAACTTCAGGTTGTAGTCTCACAGCCAGACATGGGAGTTCTGGGTGAGATAACGCGGACTGCTCTGGCTACTTACTGGCTTAGAGGCGGCAGGCAGATGGAGAGAAGGAGTAGGCTGGTCTTCAGAAAGTGCAGGGGGTGGTGTAGGGGCAGCATCACAGGGTATCTGGGCTGAGAAGTTAAACCAGGGTCCTTGAGGAGCAGGGCAGGATTCTGCCTCCTCAGGCTCGGGTTCCTCCAAGGACTGGGATGGACCGGAGTCTAATTTCCCCGGGCTGCTATCAGGCGTGAGGACTGAGCTGCTCAATAGAGAATTGTGGCTCTGAGTCTGGCTCAGCCAAGACAGGAAGGCAGACTGGCTAAGGTCATGCTGGCTCTGACAGAGAGACAGAGGGGAGCCTTCTGGCTCTAGGAACCCATTATTTTGTGGGGGCTGGGACTGAGGATGGGGCTGAAATTCTGGCTGAACTTGAGTCTGGGATTGTTCTGAATCATGTTCTCCAATAACGGATTTAGGGTGCCTAGGCTGCATAGACCCAGGCTTAGATTTTCGAGGTCGGCCTCGCGCGCGGGCAGGAGAAGCAGAGGGGTTGGAGCCAGTCAACTCTCTCTTTACAGAGACTGGGGCAGAACAGGGTGTCGAAGTGACTGCTTCCGTCAAGTACTCAGCTTCCTGCTTTATTCCATCTTCAGTAACTGTAATGAGAAATAAAGAGCTCAAGACATACAGCTGTATAATGTATACATATATATACACATGTATACTGGAAAAGAAGGAGACTCTAAACACAGAACATACTTGCTTTTTAAAATCTATTTAAGATTCTACTGGCTAACAGCTTCTAGCAAGGAACAAAGTATATGAGGAAGAAATCTTGTTTTTAAGACAGAATCTATGTAGCCCTTGCAGGCCTTGAACTCACTACATAGAATACACTGGCCTTGACTCAAGAGACTGACTGGCCCTTGCCTCCCAGTAAGAATTTCTTTTTTCTTTTCTTTTTGATTATTCGAGACAGGGTTTCTCTGTGTAAAAGCCCTGGCTGTCCTAGAACTCAACTCTGTAGACCAGGCTGGCCTCGAACTCACAGAGATCCACCTGCCACCTGAGTGTTGGGATAAAAGGTGTGTGCTACCACACTTGGCTTACACATTTTAATTCTTAGTAGTCATTGAAAAACTTTAACTATGTATATGTATGTATTCCTTGAAGTTACATGTAGGTTGTGAATCGTGACACGGGTTCAGGCAATGAAACTCAGGTCCTCAGAAAGAACAGTGCATGTTCTTAACCACTGTGCCCTGTCTTCAGCTTTAATTCTCGGTTGTCTCATGAAGTACACAGTTTACAAATAAAGAAACTGAAGCATACATCTGGCAAGCAGTTTTACTCTAGAGCCTGTGCTCCTAATAAACTTAATAAACTCCACTGCATCAGAAAACTAAAGCTCAGGAGAACTGGGCAGAAGAAAACAAAAGCATTTACTTTTACTGGAACTCAGAATTCAAGTGTCCACGATACACCTACCTATGTTCTCCTCTGATCCTTCTACAAAGATACCAGCCAGACAGGGCAACACCCAGTAGTGGCGTCTATAGCGGTCCTGACCCAAAGAGACTGCTCGAAGCATCTGGGATGAGTGAAGCAGCTTTTTTCTAAAGAAGAGTTGACGCTGAGTAGGAATTAGAAAAAGAAGATGAATATAAACATTTCCAGAATGGCATGAAAAATTTTAATACGGGAGAGAACTGCGGCTTATCAACTTCCCTATATAATAGATAAATTCTAAACAAGGGAACAGTTCTTGCCCAACTCATATTTCCAACTTTTGGGATATTAAAAACACAATACCTTACTGAGTTTTTCTATCTGGCGCTCTAACTCTGGAATGCTGGATGTTGCAATGTCAATCTGGGAAGAAGCAAACAGACATTGAGAGTAGGGAAGTTACCAGATCTAATCCCCACCACCTTCCTTTTGCTGGGTCAGTACCTCTCCATCTCTTCGAGCTCTGCGGCCATGGATTATAGTTTCCTCCTCTTCCTCCTCTTCTATGCCACTGGTTTCTTCCATGATTCGAGAACTGCGCCTTCGTCCCAGGCCTTCTTCTGGCCGTTCCATCATAACCTCAGGCCGCCCAGTTCGTTTGGCCAGAGCAGTTTTCAGTCTTGAAATACAGAGATTAGGGGAGACTATGGTGAAGAACATAATGCCAAAAAGGAAAGGCCTAAACTGTACATTTTTTAGAACCCTGGCAAGGTGCCAACCAAAGAAGGGCATCACATCCAGACAACATCCTGGCTATGTCTCACTCTCTCTCTCTCTGGGCTCCACTCTGTCCCGTCCCTACCTCCGGAGTCGGCCTTCAACAATCCATTTGTTTTTCCTGTAGCTAGACATATTCTCCAGTGTCTTATCAATCTCACTGCAGAGCAACAGCAGATGATTTTTGAGGGAGATGTGGCAGCAAAAAGAAAAGAAAGATAAAGCATTACAACAGGGACTTCTGTCTGTACACAGACTGCAGGAATGACAATGGAAGGCTTACATCCTCCCAGGAAAGGGTCTGAGATTCTATCTCAAGTCATCCAAGCATCCTCATAGCAGAGCAATGGACACATTACTCTGGAACTTTGGGAGTACTGAGCCCCTCTCCCACCCACTCCTACACAAGCTACAGGATTAAGTATTACCACCCAAGCTCCTCACTTGATAATGATGGTGGAGCCATTGAGCTCATGTACAAGGAAGGCTAGGACAGCAGCCTTCTGTTGGGGTGGCTGGGCCTGAAAAGGCTGGGTGCGCAGACTGTCACAGAAGGCTGGCTCCACTCTATATGCCATGAGGAAGCAGCGTAGTATCTCAGACACATTGTCTCTGGTCAGTGGAATCTCGGACACCTTCTCCCCCAAGATCTTTAGGGACTATTTGGGAGAAAGCATAATGGGAATGAGAAGGGCAACAGGACAACTCAAGCTGGGTGCACCTGGGAGAGAACTACAGGGTTAAGATAAAACTCTAAAAGAAAAATATGAACAAGGTCAATGAGATGGCTCTGAGGACAACTTGCTGCTAAGTCCAATAAACTGAGTTCAATTCCTAGCATGCACGTGGTGGAAGGAGAACTGACTCCCCATAAGTTGTCCTCTGACCACAGACATGCACATGTGCACAGACACACCCTAAATGCAAATTTAAATAATTTACAGTGGCTACTGCATTGAAAAGAACACAGGGTTCACAACCATCCATAATCCAATTACATGGGACTCAACCCTATCTTCAGGTCTCTGGGGGCACCAGGCACACTTGATACACATGCATACATGCAGTCAAACACTTATTCACATAAAATAAAAATAAATCTTAAAAAAAAAATGTAATCCCGGCTGGCCTAGAGCTTGCTATGCAGAGCAGACTCGAGGCCTGCCTGCCTCTGCCTCCCAGGTGCTAAGGCTAAAGGTGTGCGTCATACACACAGCTAAAAGAAATTTTTGTGAAAAAGAGAAAAACAATGAAAACTGCCAGGACATGGGGCTGCAGAGATGGCCCAGCAGTTAAGAACACTGGCTGCTTTTCCAGAAAACCCGGGTTCAGTTCCCAGAGCTCACATAGTGGTTCACAATAATAACTCCAGTTACAAGAGACACCACCCTCTTCTGGTCCTTGTGTGAACCGGACACACATGTGGACACCAGGTACATAGAAAGGCAGGCAAAACACCCCTATCCATGGAAAATAAAATAAGGACAATTATGGAAAATAGTTACTAGAAAAGGGTGAAAGACTACAACAGAAAACCACAAACAAAGACAGAGAAAAGAACAAATGAAGCACTGCAAAGAAAACAGCACAAACAACCAGAAACAGGAAGGAGCCACATCCCCATTGCTCGGGGTGGGGGTGGGGGGGAAGCAAAACTCACCTGGCAGTGGGAGGGCAGACCAGGGTCATGAAGTGCAGCCTTCAGCAGCCGCACCAGCAGGTCTTGCACTTTGCCCAGGCTGTCACCTTGACACAAGAGACCCTCCTGCAGGACTCCCAGACTAGGAACATCTTTGGTAAGGTCAAAGCCTAACACTTTGCCAAAACTGTGCAGGAACTCCATGATGGTCAAGCAGTCTGAAAAAGCCCTACTGGACAATGTCAAACCAGGGATGCGTGTGAAGTCAGGCAGGGGCTGGAGAAAGAAGTGAGAGAGCATTCTGTTAGATTACCAACAGGCACTCATCTGGGTACTCAGAGCTCCTCCTGTTAATACAAGTGGTCTCAGAACTGGCCCATCCATGACCCCTAATACCTGGTGATCAGCCAGACACATATCCTCCGTGGGCTTCTTCATCTCCTCCAAGATAACTTGTTGCCTCTGCCGTTCCTCCTGACGCCTCTGTGCGGCAAGGGTCTTCTCTGCTTTACACACTGGTTTGGCTTTGGCCACCTCTTCCTTTACCTTCACTTTCACCTTTTCTTTCTTCTCCCTCTTTACTTTGTCCTTCAATCTTTCCTGCTTTGTCTTCATCTTTTCTTTCTCAGCCTACCCACCCAGGAGAGAGGAACAAGAGTCATAAATACCTGTCTCACCAGGCCTGATATTAGTCCCCCCCAAACAAGAGTCCAAACAAAATTTATCTATGACACTGTTTGGAAAATCTCTGTAGTGGCTTCAAAATCAGACTTGAGAGATAGGAATTTAGCTCTGTGGTAGTATATCTGTCTAGCATGTACAATGTACCCTACCCTAAAAAGAGAAATTAACCTTGGGACATATATTCATATATACCTTGAGTTTCTTCTTAGTGTCCTTCTGCTTTAAGTTCTTGGTATCTTGTTTCCTCTTGTTTCTGGCCTGTAAACCATAAGGGAAGTCATTTCTCCTCAAACTCTGAAAGCACCTCTGCTTGGGCTAGGATTCAAAAACAGAAAAGGGTGCTGGGGAGGAGAGGTGAGAGATGGGATGATGAGGGATTGGCAATAGATCAATTCTCTCACTCTAGAGATACCCTATTTTTCTTGAACAAGCCCACTTTTCTAAATCAAGCCCAAGAAATTTCACTTAATGAATGTGTGCTGGAAGAAAATATGAAGCTGGTTACAGAAAGTTAGTCCACTGTTGCCCCTCCTTACCTGCCCTTGGACAGCAGTCTGACTCTCTCCCCGCTGCACCTTCTGCCTCACCTTCTTTTTGCTTTTACTCATCTTTGCTTTATCCTCCTCATTCAGTGGTTCTATGAAGACAGGAAGGAAACAGGAAAGACGTGAGGTAGAAAAGCATGCTTGGCATCTATGGCAGCACATGCCTATTACAAAGCTGGCTTCTCATGCAGCTTCATGAAAAGGTTTTATTTTGTTTTGCTTTTGGCTTATTTTTTTGAGTAGACATAATAAAACATTCAAGAGATAGGGGTCAGAGAGGCACCTGCTCAGGTAGTTGCACAAAGCGCTCAAACAGCATCAGCAGCCCAGAAGCCACAGGCTGACTCCAACTGAACTGCTTTGGAAGTGGTCCAACTGATGGAAGAGGCTACAACTGCAGAGTGCTTTTATGATCTGTCTCTTTCCCAGGCTATGGAGCAAGGGTAGCAACGCTCAGACTGATGTACATGGCCTGATTTTAGTGAAAGAGAGCTGAGAAAGGAAAGGAATCTAAACTGTCAGGAAAGAAGGTATTGATTTGTAACACTGACAACCCAGTGTGTACAAGAAAGAGAAGGATAACAACTCAACACTGTCAAAGCCAGTGCTCACGTTCAGCTTCCACAGTTCACTCCACTGAAAGATCCAAATCAAAGTAGAAATCTGCAAATACCTCGCTTCTAATTGATATTCTGACACAATAGTACCTATTCTTTCCTTTGTGGTACAGAAACATTATAGATTTTTATAGCAACCTTCTACAATATCATGGGCAAATAAGTCACTTAAAGCTTTTATTAAAGTGAGATATGGGGCTGGAGAGATGGTCAGTGGTTAAGAGTTCTCACTGCTTTTGGAGAGGACCTGCGTTCAGTTCCCAGCACTCATGACAGCTTACAACGATCTACAATTCTATGTAGGGGATCTGACACCTTCTTATGACCTTCACAGACACCAGGCACACATGTAGTGCCGATGTGTAAAACATGGGAAATACACTGAGTTTGGGATTTTAACTCTAGTAAAATACTTGCTAGACAAGAGCAAAGTCCTACGATTGGTCCCTAGTATGGGGAAAAAGACATAGACAATAGCAGAGCTGGAACTCCGAATGGAATTAACAAGACTATTTCATCTTCTGCACACTGTATATGCAATGCTTACCTAGATAAATACAATGCTTACTTAGAAAATTAGACATTTTCACTGGGTGGTGGTGGCAAATGCCTTTAATCCCAGCACAGGGGAGATAGAGGCAGGCGGAGTTCAAGGACAATCTGGCCCACAGCCCAAGTTCCAGGACAGTGAGGGCTACACTGTCTCTAAACAACCCCCTCCGCCGCAAATGAAAACATCACAGACATTTTCCCATTTACCCAACTGACTAAAATAATATGTCAATTATCTTTTGGATCCAGGTTCCTACAACAAAAACTATGGCAACTGCATGAATGCAATTAGTATAAGCAAGGAGCTGGAAGATGGACAGGAAAAGAATGGAACTCTTCTCCGTTGGCATTACTCTATATGGGGACAGCCCATGGCTTTACTACCATGGCTTTACTAGTAAAAGCAGCTCAAAGAAAGAAATTGCCTGGAAAAGGTATAGCAAATGCTAGGATTCCAATCATACTTTCTAAGGGGAGAACAAATTTAGATTCATCTTTCCAGGTATCAGTCCCTCTTGGGAAACCCAGGTACCAACTGCAATTCAGCAACATTTTTAAATACCCTGTGGAGGGAGCAGAATACCTGAGCTACAAGTAACACTGTACCTTGGGCTTCTAGTTTCTTTGGAAGTCGGTTGTCTGTTTTATTCAATAGCTCAGGAATTTTGACCTTCGGTGGTCGACCTCGGCCCCGCTTCACTTTGGGAACTTCCTTGTTCTTGGCCTTCTCATTATTTCGAGGTCGGCCTCGTTTGCCAGTAATTGCTTGAATTCTGGAAGGAATCTCCTCTGCAGATAACTGGACCCACTGCAAGCCCTACAGGAGCAAGGACACTGGTGTTGTAAGAAGACAATCAGTGCAGGTCGCTAAGCCCTCTAAACTACCCCAGACTCCTTGAGTCGCCAAATTACACGATAAAGAAGCTATAATTTGTTCCCCAACTATTTAATCCTTGGAACAGCACCTCTGGTGTGTCTCTTTCTTCAAAGAAATCTCCAACAGGCATGCGGGGACTGAAGCTGAAGTGCTCACGGCGGACACTGTGTACCACATTTCGGCTCAGGTACTGAGAGAAAAAGTGACATTAGTAAAGCCATAGCCCTACCATGTCAGCTATAACACAACCAGAATAGGTCCCAGAACAGACGATTCTAGAAAAAGTCCTTTAAAAGCTACAAATGCTATTACCTTAATAACTTCCGGAAACTGCTTCATTCTCTTCCCACAGGGGCCATAATACCAAGTCTCCCCCTGCCACCGATGGCAGCCCTTCTTGATGCGTACTTCTCTCCGCCACCTGCCAGAGAAGCACATGGGCCCTGCCACCAGGTCACACCCCTACCCACTCCCATGCCACCCAGGAGCCAAGCCCACTGAGCAGATGCCCCCTCCATCTGTCTCACTAGCCCTGCACACACGTTGACCTACAGACAGTCCTGCAAACAGAAACACCACAGCACATGAGCTTGACAAACAGGCTCAAGCTGCTTGAGCAAATACTTCAGGAAGAAAATACACCAAATGGCAGCTATGCACCAAGATTTCCACCCCTCCTTTTTATGAAGCTACTGAAATAAGCAGCTAGAAACTCCTAATAGCCCTGGCTCAGGTGTAGAGGAAAGTGTAAGAGTAAACTGGAAGCTGAGGCCATGACCTAAGTTGGGCAGGTTTAGTCAGTAGCTATGATCTGAGCAGTAGACTATGACAGCCAGCCTTATCCTCATCGCCAATGTGGCATTAGTACTAAGACTTGGTGACAACCAGTAGACCAGAGTGGTTGTGGTGAAATCAGGAAGACAGTTATTTCTAGAAGGTCTTTGATGATAACTGGTTTGGTCATTACATAGTTACTGTTCCAGAGCTTAGCTCTCCAGAGAGCAATAAAACAGAAACTGTTACATCACAAAATCGCCCAATTCACTGGTAGAAAGTCTCTCTTCCACACTGCTATCCCTCTCTTTGAAAACAGTTTTGTCTAGCTACTCTGGATACTTGAGCCTTAGTTTGGAAAGGATCTTTGATCAAGATCAAGTAACCAATAGATGAGTAAAGAATTTATTTATGAGGGAAGACAGACCCTAAGAAAGGGAAAATTGTAGCCAGGAGGTGGTGGTGCACACCTTTAATCACAGCACTCGGGAGGTAGAGACAGGCAGATCTCTGTGAGTTTGAGGCCAGCCTGGTCTACAGAATGAGTTCCAGGACAGCTAGGACTAAACAGAGAAACTCTGTCTCCAAAATCCCCCGAAAAAAGAAATAAGAAAGAGGAAATTGGTATAGAGAACAGTCCAGCAGTTAAGCACACCCACTGCTCTGCCAGAAGACTCAACGCCCACACCGGTGGCTTCACAACAGCCCGCAACCCCAACTTCAGGGATTCTACACCCTCCTCACTGTCTTGTACTCTATTCCCAACTCTCCCACACCTAAGAGTCATTCCTAGGCTTGTTAAGGTCAATGCATGCAGCAATCTAGAGCACTTACCCATGTTGGAGGGGAAGACGAACTTCTTCTGGGGTAGCAATGCGTCTCTTCAGCACATCACCTTGAGGTAAGACCAGAGATAAAGGTCAAGCAAGCTTACAGAATAGAGCTGAGCTGGTGGTACAGCACGTGGAGGAAGAAGCATGCAGAGCTCCGTGAACTGGAGGCCAGCCTAGTCTACATAAAGACCAGCCAAAGCTACATAAGATCCTGTCTCAAACAAACAAACAAAAAAATTTTTGTTTTTTGTTTTTCAAAACAGGGTTTCTCTGTAGTTTTGGAGTCTGTCCTGGAACTAGCTCTTGTAGATCAGGCTGGCCTTGAACTCAGAGATCTGCCCGTCTCTGCCTCCTGAGTGCTGAAAATTAAATTACAGATTAATAGAGGGATAGATGTAGCATGTGACATAAAACTTTTGCACAGGCCAGGCGATGGTGGTGCTTTAATCCCAGCATTGGGGAGGCAGAGGCAGGTGGATCTCTGTGAGTTCAAGGCCAGCCTGGTCTACAAGAGCTAGTTCAGGACAGGCTCCAATGCTACAGAGAAACCCTGTCTCAGGAAGAAAAAAAATTATAGAAACCAGGCAGGGACAAAACAGAATCTGGACACTTACCACTACCAGAAACTGTGACAGCTCCTCCAGTAGTCTCTTCTAAACCAGCAGAAGCTTCTGGAATGCTACTGCTGTCTTCACTTGCTTGGGAAACTGTCTGGAAGGCGGGTGCTGGAGAAGGAGCAGGGCAAGCTTGAGGGGAGGTCACTGGAGCTGTCAAAGAGGCTTCTAGAGAGGCGGCTGGGAGGGCAGGGGAAGGAGCTGGAGACACTGCTGGGAAGATTGTAGGAGGAACAAGTGAGGAGGCTGCCGGAGAGGCACCTGGAGATGCTGTCAAGGAGGCTGCTGGGGAGGCTGTGGGATGTAGCTCAACAGTAGGTGGTTGGTCAGGGGCTGGCGCAGTCAGGGGATGTGGGAAGTCTGAAGACTCAGGCCCCATTTCTTCCTGTTCAGAGTCACTGCCATTATTCAGGTCAAAGCTGTTATCTAAAATCCAATGGATAATGTCAGTAAAAAGAAAATGGTAAAGAGTTTATTCAATCAAAACTACACTACCATAAAAACAGTTATCTTAAAGGCTTTTAGTGAAAAAAGAAGTAGCTCTAGGGACTGGAGTTGTGGCTCACTGGCTGCCCTTTCAGAGGGCCACTGTTTGATTTCTAGCACCCACACGGTGTTATCCTTCTGTACCTCCAATCCCAAGAGGTTTGAAACCCACTTCTGGCCTCCAAGGGCACTATACAAACAGTGCATAGATACACATACAGGAACACTCATACACATAAAATTAAATTTAAAAAAGCAGTGCTAGCTGGGCGGTGGTGGTGCACACCTTTAATCCCAGGATTCGGAGGCAGAGGCAGGCAGATTCTGTGAGTTCAAGGCCAGCCTGGTCTACAAGAGCTAGTTCCAGGACAGGCTCTAAAACTACAGCAAAACCCTGTCTCAAAAAAACCACACAAAATAAAACAATCCAAAACCAACAAAACAGTGCTGGCTCTTTCCCTACCCCAAACATCGTTGAAGTTAAAGGGTAAAACTGGTGATGGTCATGGTCACCACTGCAGAGAGAAACAGCTTCTCCTGAAGATAGAAAGGTCTCTGGCCATCTTTTCTTTGACAACTCCCAAGTCCCTCATGTTTTCCACAGAGGGCAGAGGTCAAAGTACAATGGATGCTTTTTTATTTCCACCAGAAAGCATCTCAGAGTCTGTAAACATGACACCAGTACACACTTCCCATGCTAAGGGCTTAGCTATGGAACACATGCACTGTTTTCCAAGAGAGGACTTTTATTTCTCCTACCTTTCCTCACTTACCTTGTAAGACAGACTCCCCTAAGACAGGTGGAGAGGTGGGGCTGACAAAGAGAGAGGCTGCCGTTTGGCTGTCATCTGCGAGGAGACTGAAGGCAGCAGCATTACTGAGAGAAGGGCAGTCGAGAGCAGAGATCACAGGGCTGTCCTCCAGAGGCAGCTTGTCTTCTGCACCCATCAATGCTGTGTCATCTATTCCATAAAGTCCTCCACTCACTGGCTCTGCATATGAGGGTGAAAAGAAATTACAAGCAGAAATTAAGAAAAAAATTAAGAAGCCAGATTTCCTTAGGAAATACTAGCCAAAGCAATATCCAACTCTAGTTTCTAGAGTCTGAACTGGGGAAGCAGGGAGGAAATAAGGAAAGGTCTCAGCTCTAGCTCAGAGTTGACTTGAAACTTGCTATGTACTTCGCAGGATGGCATCAAAGTCACACCCTCCTACCTCAGCAACCCCATTTAGCATTAAAAGTAGGGGACAGAAGTCTGAAAATGAAAGCAAAGATACAGACTTTGTATCTATCCATAGATCCTTGCAGAGATCTAGCATTTATCATAAAATTGTCCTTGTTTTTATATTTAATTGGCAAATGTTGCCTTTCTAGTTAGTTAGAATCCAAATAGCCCAACTGTGTGGCAGTTACAGCCTATTCAGTGAATTATTGCAGCCAAGGGCTCTTGGCCAACTGGAAGACATAGAGCCTGGGAAATGAATCAATGCATCTGAGTAAAGCCGGCTCAGTCAGTAGTAAGACTATGGTTTACTAAAGTTTTATCCACAAGTCAACACCCCAGATTCCCTAAAACGTTCCTTGGGTTTCTAACTTGTCTGGGTGACGGGTTAGTCACCCTCTGTTCAGGTAAGTAGGAAAGAGACACACCCTCTAAAGCCCACCTGGTGCCAGAGAGTCAAAGGGCTCAAGGGAATCTTCACTGAGGATTGGAGTGTCTTCCAGTTGATCAGGAAGATGCGAAGGATCATCTAAACAGCTCACCGTGGGATCAGGAACCAGGACAGAGACTTCTTGGTGTAAAGACTCCACAGAGGAGACAGAACCATTGTAGCCACACATCTTTAATTCTAGGTAATCCCAGGAGAGATCAAAAGTCAAAATTTGTGCCTTCAGTTTAGCTGTATTAGCTGGTTATAAAAATGTGTTCAGGTGGGGCTGGAGAGATGGCTCATCAGGTAAGAGCACTGGCTGCTCTTCTAGAGGACCCAGGTTCAATACCCAGTACTCACAAGGCAGTTCACAACTGTCTGTAACTCCAGTCCCAGGGGATTCAACACCCTTACAAACATATGCAGGTAAAACACCAATGCACATAAAAAATAACAAATTATTAAAAATGCTTAAAAAAAAAAGAAAAAGAAAAATGTTCAAGCAACTCTTTCAGAAGTCCACACAGGCACATGGTGTGCACTGTTCCTTCCCAGGATCCCCTTCCCCAGCCACACCAGTACTAAAACCTGTGTTACAACATTCTCTTAGTAAACTCTAACTTTAATCAACATTTATTGCTAGCTCTAAACCAGGAACAGACCCTATCCAGTAGCTAATGAGTAGAGACATGCTGCTAAAACCAATCTTACATCAGGCAAAGGGGAAGATGGACAGCAAGGCTGAGACAAGAACCCTACCACATATTTAGCTATTTTTTCCAACAAGTGGAACAGAGAAAATATTTTGACTTTTTTATAGGGCAGTCACCCTTGCAGTGAATATGAACTACAAATACAAAATAATATTTTATCTATTTTTAGGGAAACAAAATAGGTTGTCACACATAAATATTAACAAACAAAACAAAACAAAAAGAAAGAAAGGGAACTGAACAGACAAGCAATGGTGCACTCTACCTATTGTGTCCTCACCTTAGTAAGTCAGTCACTACTAGACCTAACCCTGCCAGTTAAAACAGTCTCATGGTTTCAGTGCTCACCACTCTTCTGCTTTAGAAGCCCCTACCCACCCTACTCATTTCTGTGTCCCAGGCTGACCTCCTCCTGCCTCCACTCTCAAGGGCAGAGATTACAGGCATGTGCCAGTATGCATGATATTTGCAGGGCTGGAGGTAGACAACCCATTCATGCATGCTACACAAGCACACTAGCCACTGAGCGACATTCTCAGCCCAAGAAGTCATTCTTTTCTTCTTTTTAAAATTTATTTTTATTTTGTATGTGCATTGGTGTTTTACTTGTATGTATATCTGTGTGAGGGTATCAGGTTCCCTAGAACTAGAGCTACAGATAGATGTGAGGCACCATGTGGGTGCTGGGAATTGAACCCAGGTCCTCAGAAGAGAAGTCGGTGCTCTTAACCACTGAGCTCCAGCTCCCCCAAAAGCCATTCTTGATGCAATATGTGTCTGGGCTGTTTCAGGCTTGCCCATCGCCCACCTGCCCTCTCTTGGGCAGTAGCTCTGCAAGAGCTTGCAATAATTTGCACTCCCACTCTTGAACTGGTGCTGCTGCCACAAAAACACCAGCCACTTGGCTCTGCTAATCACCAACATGCAAATCAGTCTCTACTGCAGAAAGCTGGAAAGACAAGTTTTCCTCACCCCAAAAGGCCACTGCCCCCCATGACCGCACTTTCTCTCTCCACACCCACCCAGCTCACAGACCCAGTTATACCTGGCTGCTCTTCCTCCAGTTCCAGGCTGCCTACCAAGCCAGTGCCATTTTCCTCCACAACTGAAGTCAGCTCCTTTTCTGCTGCCTCATCAGAATGGATCCCATTGCCTACATCCTGGGAAGGTGCAAAGGTCTGGATACTAGATCCCAACATTGGAGAAGTCTGTGGGGAGGTGAAAAAACTTGGAGGTCCATTGGGCATCACCTCAAAATTCTGGTCAGGAAAGGAATCATACAGCTCCTGTGAATCGAAGTTAAGCCCCATGGGACTCTGGGTACCATTGGCCCAGAACTCTTGACTCCCAGCTCGAAGATTAGTGTTGTGACTTGGGGATGAAGGTTGTCGGCTGCCCCCAAGGATACCGTTGAGCGGGTATTGTCCCCCAGGGAACTGAGCAAGAAGGGGTGGGTCCTTGAGGTTGTTGCCGGGATTGGCAGGTGGGTACTGTGAGTAGTTCCAAAGACAGTCGTAGGCCACATTAGGGTGCTGGAGGTGTGAGGTGCTGGAGGAGTGGGGAGCAGAGTTCAAAATCCCTGAAGTAGTAGTGTGAGATACAGTAGATAAGCCATTAACATTCACATCCCCATTCAAACCTGGCAGAAAAATAGAAAAGAGTCAGGTATGAATATATATGCAATAACGCTACAAAATAAACCTCAAAAACAGTGAAGGGACCTCTGTTAACTTCAGCTTTTGGGTCTCAAGGGAACACTAAACCTGGATGTTCCCTTGTGTAAGCTTAACGCTGCTGCTGAGAAAGATGAGTATGGGGCTAGGGAGTGGCCTAGGTGTGCCACAGGAGCTAGTGGCAGCCATAGATACTCTGCTGCTGCAAGCTTTCTACTACATGGAGCTGCACATCGGTTTCCTACCATGACTTTCCTGCCCTCATTCCTTATGGGAATTCTTTCCTGGGAGGAGGGGTGACTGAATTTTCCAGTTCCCAATCCCCTCTTTCCTTAGTGCCTATTTGGCCCTACAGTGGCACCAGAAGGGACAGCCTCCACCTCACTGGCACATGCAGATCCAGCACTTTGTGCTGGGCTAAGAATAGAATTTGCAGTCACCACAGTGACAAAATTCCAGCTCAGAAGGCTGGGTTTAGCCCCTCCCCATAACCCCAGGAGGGTAATATGGAGTAGGTAAAAATCTTTGCAAGACCAGTGCTGCAAAATACAGCTCTGAAAATAGCCATCTTTGAGTTTGCATCAGACAACAATTATCGGGACCAAGATACTAAAGAAACTTCAAGCAGGTGTCTGTGTATGGGGGGAATACTACAGCAGGTGGGTGGGTATGTATGTGTGGGAAAGTCCAATGAAATAACAGGGCTAGCATTCATCTGCAAGTGCCCTATATACAAAAGAAGGGAAAATAAGTATAAGTCAGAATTTTTCTACTGCAAGGAAGAAAGCACATGAAATTCTACTTCTATGCAAATTTAGAGAGGAAACTAATAGAAGACTGAAGCAGGACTGCCACCATGGTGTTCAAGGTCATCCTTGGCTAGAGTAAGTCACTACCCCAGAAGAAAAAAGGAAAAGAAAATCACCTCCACAGCAGCACTTCCAGAGAATGAAAAGCTTTCTAAGGAAGCACTGCACCCCTCACCTTCTGTGCATAGCACTTCTACTGCAGGCCTTCCCTGATGCACAAGTTAGAGCATATTTATCATAACCTTCGCCTACCTCCCTCACCCCTAGTCTAAACCAATTTCTTACAAGTCATAGGTCCACCACCCTCATTATTAGCAACAGCAGCTACCTCCTTTTCTGTTCCCAGTAGCCAGGGAACAGGACTGACAAAAGAGCAGGCTAAGATGAAAAAACTTGTATGTTTTTTCTAATCTTCTAGAAATCCAAAGTCAAGACAAAAAAAAAGCAGCTTCTACAAGCCCCTCTAACTTGTTCTCAGAAGTCTGATTTCTCCCTAGCAATTAGTAAGTTCTATCGATTTTCCTCTGTCACTACCTGCCAGGAAAGAGCTGTTGTGGGGTAGCTAGCCAAAAGTAGATCTCAATCTCCTTCCATCAACCTGATCTAAAGAAATGATGTCATTCCCTCCCCAGGTCTTAAGGCCTCCACACTCACTTTTCCCTTGCTGGGGGAAGTTCATGGGAGACCCGTTAGTGTAGAGGCCCTCCCCTGATGAAGGAGAGGGTTTCAGTCCTGAGGCAGCTGGTGCAGGGGGAAGGCCAGTAAAGTTAAAATGGTCGTTCGCTTCCATTTCTGTAGGAGAAAGAAAAGGTAAAAATACTCATGGTTAAGTGAGGTTATATCATCGAGAAAGTGCCCCTTCCCATCCCTTTACTAACCCTTCAATTTAGGGGTGCTGTGAGAAGGTGCAAGTGGAAAAGGAGAAGAAAATACGGCCTTAACCCGGTCAAACACCCAACCGTTAAGTCAAGCATGGCACCACACCTATAAACTCAGCACACAGCAGACTGGGGCAAAGGAGCACAGGCTCAAGGCAAGCTTTTACACACTGTCTAAAAGCAAACTGTTAAGACAGGCAGACAGAGAGATAAAGTTAACTATCACTGATAGAGAAAAATAAGTTAGTGTGAAAAAACAATAAGCCTGGAAGAGCCTAACCTTATGTTAAGTTCTACCCACTTAATTGCTGGCCCAGGATACAGTCTTCTTAGACATTAGCTCTTTAGTTTAACATTAGGGTTAGGATTTGAGCATTTTTTTAGGATTTAACTTTTTAATGTGTATGTATGTTTTACCTGCATGTATGTCTGCATACATATATGCGGTGCCCACAGAGGCCAGAAGAGTAGATTGATCCCCTGGGACTAGAGTTAGCAGACAGTGTTGGCTGCCATATGAGCGCTAAGAATCATGCCCAAGTCTTCCAGAAGAGCAGCCAGTGCCTATTAGCACTGAACCATCTCTCCAGTCCCACATTTGATATTCTTTATCCTTTTGTTTTCACCCTGGCATATAGGTCTTCTCCCAGGGTTCACAAAAGTTGTCAAAGCCATTTTTTTGGCAGAAAGCTATGGATGCAAGGTTGTTGGGGAACATTATTTTAAGGTGTGTGACTTTTATTTATGCAGCATTTATTTATCTCTGTAAAGGTGTGATTCTTTGCCTGCCTAGAATACTTGATAGTCTAATAAAGAGTTGATGGCCAACTGCGAGGCAGTAGCAAAGATAGGCAGGGTTGGCAAGCAGAGAGTATAAATAGAAGGGTAAATCTGGGAGCAGAGAGAATGAGGAGCAACAAGAGAACACGGGTGGAGGACTTCAAGGGCCAGCAACCCACCCACCAACCCAGACATGGAGTAAGAGTGAAAATACACAGAATTAAGAATTAAGATACACAGAAGTAAGAAAAGAAAAAAAAAATCCCAGAGGCAAAAGATAAATAGGTTAATTTAAGAAAAGCTGGCTAGAAACAAGCCAAGCTAAGGTCAGGCATTTATAACAAAGAATAAGCTGCGTGTATTTATTTGGGAGCCAGGTGGTAGGCCACTCAAAAAGCCAAAGAGTAAGAACAAAACAACACCAAGCCGGGCAGTGGTGGCCTTTAATCCTAGCACTTGGGAGGCAGAGGTAGGCAGATCTCTTTGAGTTTGAGGCTAGTCTGGTCTACAAGAGCTAGTTTCAGGACAGGCCCCAAAGCTACAGAGAAACCCTGTCTCGAGGGAAAAAAAAAAAAACAAAAACAAAATCACACAACACACAGTGTTGGCAAGAAATGTATACTTGATATATATCCTGTTTCATTACTACTCTGTTTTGACAGAATCTCTTTATGTAGTTCAAGTAGGCCTTGTACTCTGAATCCTTCTCCGTGAGGCTTCCAAGTATTGGGATAACAGTGTCCATTATTTTCTATCTATAGCTCCAGACATAAAACCCTCTAACAGCCCGGGCAGTGATGGTGCACACCTTTAATCCCAGCACTGCAGAGACAGAGGCAGGCAGATCTTGGTGAGTTTGAGGCCAGCCTGGTCTACAGAGCGAGTTCCAGATAGGCTCCAAAGTTATAAAAACCCTGTCTTAAAAAACAAAAACAAACAAACAAACAAAAACTCTAATGTAATATAATGTTTTGAAATATATATATTAGCCGGGTGTTGGTGGCGCACGCCTTTAATCTCAGCACTTGGGAGGCAGAAACAGGCGAATCTTAGTGAGTTCAGGACCAATCTGGTCTACAAAGCGAGTTCCAGGACAGCTAGAGCTGTTACACAGAGAAACCCTGTCTTGAAAAACAAAACAAAACAAATGAAAAGGAAATACATACATTATACTATGTGAAATTGTAAAGTTTACTGGCTGAGAAACAGTATGGCTAAAAGCCTCAATATCTATTGAATATAACATGATATATTATTACTAGAAATACTGAGAAATGAAGGCCTTGATCAAAATAAACTTAACTCTGATTGACAGCATCCAGAAGGAACAAAAGCAGAAACAAAAATTATTGGAAAAGTCTGATCCACTATTTGCAATGTACTAGTGATTATTAACCTAATATGTGAGATTCTGTTTTTATACAAAAAAAGAAAAGTTCTTGGATTATGTTAACAGCTTCTTGGAGGGCATAATAATCCACAATGAAAGCTTTCTTTTTTTTTTCTATTTTTGTTGAGACATCACACAAGTTAAGTTAAAATGGTCATAGCCCTGGCTGGCATCAACTCAGAGACCTGCCTATCTCTACTTCTAAAGTGCTAGGATTAAAAACATTTGCCACCACACCCAGGAGTCAGAAAGCTATCTTTATTAAGTTCCTAAACTGAGGAAATAACCAAACCTAGGTAATATTTTAATTATATTTGTAAAAGGATAAATAAGTTGGTTATGATAACATGATCACTAGTCAACATCTAAGAGGGATATTTACTCCCTGACAGTACATATACCTGCTGTCACATGCCTACAAGCCCAGTATTCAAAAGGCTAAAGCAAGGGGATCAAGGTTCAAGGACAGACTGGTCTACACAGTAAGATCCTATTTCAAAGCAAGCAGTCATGGTTTATGAATATGTTATATACTGAAAATCAGATACCACTCGGTATATGTGTCAACAGTCTACACACATACAAACACACACACACTAGCTGTTGCATGTTTGTAGGCACGAGCCATGGCATGTATGCAGAGGTTAGAGGATAATTTGGGGAAATCAGGTCTCTCCTGTGGGTCCCAGAGACTTAATTCAGCCCTCAGGTCTGGCAGCAGGAAACTTTACCTAAGACATCTCATCAACCTCCACAACATAATTTTGAATATAAAATATAAATCCCATGTAGCAAACGGCATAATTCTAGAATTTTATAGTTTAGACATCATGATTGTCACAGTCAATTTTAACTAAAAGAAATAAAAATAAAAGAAATTTGTGTTCTACTTAAGAGAACAGTGAGGCGGGGTAGAATTAGGTTTTGTTTGCTTGCTTTTTTGTACTTCAACTTTTTCAAGTCAGGGTTTCTCTGTGTTGCCCTGGTTGTTTTGGAACTCACTCTGTAGACCAGGCTGGTCTAGAACTCAAGAGATCCACCTGCTTCTGACTCCCAAGTACTGGAATTAAAGGCATGAGTCACTACAGCTAAACTGCTTGTTTTTTGAGACAATCTTCCAGGTAGTCTTGAGTGGCAATAACTCACAGCAACTCTCCTGCCTCAGTTTTCTGAGTACTGAGATTACAGGCATATGTTACCAAGCCCAACTCAGAAAAGTTTTTTAGTATTAATTTATCTTTCTTATAGAATGTCCCAGGTTCATTCTAAAATTATAGTTTAAGGGCTGGCAAACAGCTCAGCAGGTAGAGGTGCATGCAAGCCAAGCCTGATGAGCAGAGACAAATAACTCTGACTGTTCTCTCCTCTACACGCCTGCTGGGACACCTATCCACCAGCAGGCACAAGTGCAGACATGAACACACACGCACACACATGTTAACATAAGTCGTCATCACGTCTCACTTTTGGCTAAGATCAAATGCAAATTAAGTAGCAGACTTCAATCTGCTACACATCCATGAAAAATCCAATCAACAGAGAATAGACTGCAGTCTTCCAGAACTTCCCCATCATAGGGAAAGCCCATTCTTTAGAACACAAATCCAAAAAACAAGCATCGTAAGATTAATAATCCCGACTAAAATACACAAAAAATAAAACTTAGTCCTTGTTTTTAGGTTGGGTTTTTCCTTAAGCTTCCATAGAACAAAGAACATGCAGGGGTTCACATTGGAAATTCTGGGAAGAAGCCAGAGGAAGCAATCCCACCTGACCTGCACTGCCCTCTCTCCTGCAGTTTAGGCAGTCACACTCTGCCTGGCATGAGTAACACATCTTTCTTCCTGTGTCCTCTCGATTATACCCTCAAAGCTGGGTCACAGTTCATTTGATGGGTCACAGTTCATTTTTTGGTTTTGTTGTTGAATCTACAAGGAAACTCTGAGGAAACAGCACATTCTACTTCATAAATGACATACTGTTAACGGTGAGTGGACAACCCAAAGAAATCAGAGATGTAAACAGAATAAAAGCTATTTGGCCCCTGAGTCTATGTCCATACCTGCCCCAGCTGAAGGGTCACAGGAACCACAGCTATTTCATTCATTCCTAGACATGTTATGAGATCGGCATAAGAAATTGGGCTGACATCTCAATTCTACTGCTTCCTAGTGGCCTTGGACAAATTTCTTACTGAGCCTCATTTAGAAAAACTTCATTATGAACTTCTAGGGTTTGAGGGTTAAGCAAGAATGAATAAACACACACATACACATCCTTGTATTAAATGTTAGGTTTTGGTGGGTAGCAGGATGACATGCCATTAATCCTCAGGAGACAGAGGCAGGTGGAACTATGTGAGTTAGAGGTCAGCCTGGTCTATAGAGTAAGTTCCATGACAAACCCAAAAGCTACACAAAGAAACCAAGTCTTGAACAACCCCCTTGCCCCCCAAAAAGTTAGGTGTTCTGTTTGTCTGAAATAGTATCTAGCTATGTAGCCTCACGTGGCCAGGGATTCTGAAATCCCCTGCCTCAAACCCCAAGTGATGAGATTAAAGGAATGTCCATAATGCCCAGCCATGTTAGCTTTCCTTTCCTTTTTTTTTAAAAAAAGATTTATTATTATATAGTGTTCTGTATGCATGTATGCCTGCATACCAGAACATGTTATAGTGATCTTCAAATTTCATATCAAAAAAACTCCCCCTGCCTAAGCCATCTTCTCCCATTAGAGTTCCAAAT